TTGACGACTACTCGCGTTACACCACAGTCTTCCCCTTGCGCAGCAAGGGTGATGTCACTGAGGTGTTGATCGACTGGATCCGCGCAGCTCGTCTCCAGCTCAGGAGGAGCTTCGGCTCGGACTTTCCTGTTCTGCGTCTGCACTCTGACCGAGGTGGAGAGTTCTCCTCTGGCCTTCTGCGAGCCTACTGTCGTGCACGAGGCATCCGCCAGACCTTTACGCTTCCGGACTCTCCACAGCAAAATGGGATTGCTGAGCGCCGCATTGGCATGGTCATGGACGTCGCTCGTACGTCCATGATGCATGCGGCTGCCCCCCATTTTCTGTGGCCGTTTGCGGTTCGGTACGCGGCGCATCAGATCAACCTTCACCCCAGGGTCTCCCGGCCGGAGACCTCCCCAGCTCTGCTGTGGACGGGGAAGGTCGGCGATGCGTCTGCGTTCCGTGTCTGGGGATCTCGGGCGTTTGTCCGCGACTTGTCTGCGGACAAGCTGTCCCCTCGTGCTGCTCCCTGTGTCTTCCTCGGCTTCCCCCCTGACGCTCCAGGGTGGCAGTTCTACCACCCCTCCTCTCGTCGTGTTCTGTCCTCCCAGGACGTCACGTTCGACGAGTCAGTCCCCTTCTACCGCCTCTTCCCCTACCGCACTCCTTCCCTCCCCCCGCCACCGCACTTCCTTGTGCCAGGTCCCCCCCCGGTAGACCCCCTTCCCCCTCAGGGTCCTGCCCCTTCAGGTGTGTCCCAGGTAGACGCAGTCGAGCCGGTCGAGGTTGCTGGTGACTCTGGTCCTGCTGCGGGTGCTGAGCCTGGGGGTGCTGAGTCTGGGGGTGCTGAGCCTGGGGGTACTGCGACTGGGGGTGCTGAGCCTGGGGGTGCGGAGTCTGGGAGTGCTGAGCCTGGGGGTGCTGCGACTGGGGGTGCTGAGCCTGGGGGTGCGGAGTCTGGGGGTGCTGAGCCGTGGGGTGCTGCTACTGGGGGTGCTGAGCCAGGGGGTGCTGCGTCTGGAGGTGCTGAGCCTGGAGCTGCGGAGCCTGCGGCCACTGGACCTCCCCTTGTGGCGTCTGGCGGTGCGGGACCTGGCGGTTCTCCGGGTGCTTCGCCTCGGCGGGAGCCCCTCTCTCCACAGGAGCTGCGCGAGTGGTTTGCCCGGCGCTGGAGGCGTGCTGCTGGAGCTGGAGGTTCTTCGGCTGCTGAGGGTGCTGGTGCCGCGGGTCCCGGAGGTGCTGGAGCTGGAGCTGCTGAGGGCGTTGGCGCTGAGGCTACTGCTGTCGGTCCTGGAGGCGGTCCTGCTGGGGGTGCTACTGGTGCTGCTGGAGGTCCTGGAGCTGGAGGTGCTGCTGGCGCTGGTGCTGCCGCTGGGGGTACTGGTGCTGTCCCTGCTGTGTCTGGAGTCGCCGCGCGGCCTAGACCGTACTTCGTTCCGCTCCTTCAGCAGGTTCTTGGTCTCCCGCCTTCTACTGGTCCTCCTCCTCCCTTAGAGTGTCCACAGCCTGTCCTGTCACAGTTACAGTTCCAGCCGGCCTCCCCACTGCCCGCTCCTTCTCCCTACACTGGTCCTACTGGAGGTCTTGCTGAGCGTCGTGAGCCTGCGTCTCGCCCTGCGTCGCCTGTCCGTGCTGCTCGCACTAGTGGTCGTGGTTCGCGTCAGCGTCCTCCTCCTGTCCCTGGCACGCACCGGATGTCTCTGCGTCCGTCCACTGCTCCTCTGCGTGCCCCTTTGCCTTCTCCTCCTGAGTCCTCTCTTCCTGCTCTTCCTGACCCGGAGTCGGACTCTCTTCGTGCTGCCAGTCCTGCTGTCACACGTCTCCTTGCTACTGTCGTCACTGACCCCTCTTTTGAGTCCACTGCTGCGTCTGCGCTTGTTGCTGAGCTCGTCGACTTTGCTGCTCGCTGTCGTCTAGACTACGCGGCCAGTCTTGTTACTGAGTCTGCGTCTGTCTGTCCTCCGTCCGTCGGGGGTGAGTGTGCTCTTGGCACGGACGTCCTTGAGGACAGGCAGGAGGAGTTCCGGTGTCTGGCTGCTGCTTCACCTCATCTCGCGTCCGTACTACTTGCCCCTGAGGGAGACCCGGATGCACTAGACATCCCGACTCCGCGCTCTTACGCGGAGGCCGTAGAGGGTCCCTACTCCTCTCAGTGGCAGGCAGCTATGGATGCAGAGATGGCGTCCTGGAAGTCCACAGGCACCTACGTTGACGCGGTTCCCCCTCCTGGGGCGAACATCGTCAGTGGCATGTGGATCTTCAGGGTGAAGCGGCCGCCGGGCTCTCCACCTGTCTTCAAGGCGCGGTACGTCGCTCGTGGCTTCAGTCAGCGGCAGGGAGTTGACTACTTTCAGACCTTCTCTCCCACCCCGAAGATGACCACTCTTCGGGTGCTGCTGCACATAGCCGCTCAGCGCGACTACGAGCTCCACTCTCTTGACTTCAGTACTGCTTTCTTGCAGGGTAGCCTGCACGAGGAGATCTGGCTGCGCCGTCCACCTGGCTTCACTGGGACTTTTCCTCCTGGCACCCAGTGGAGCCTCCGACGGCCAGTCTACGGTCTCCGCCAGGCACCGCGTGAGTGGCACGACACACTGAGGACTACGCTTGCGGCTCTTGGGTTTGCTCCCTCTACTGCTGACCCGTCGTTGTTTCTGCGCACCGACACTTCTTTGCCGCCGTTCTACGTCCTCGTGTACGTCGACGACTTGGTCTTTGCCACAGCTGACACTGCTGGACTAGCCTACGTGAAGTCCGAGCTGCAGAAGAGACACACGTGCACAGACCTGGGTGAACTGCGCAGCTACCTTGGCTTGCAGATCACTCGGGACAGAGCACGCCACACCATTACCTTGACTCAGTCACACATGGTGCAGCAGGTCCTTCAGCGCTTCGGCTTCACGTACTCCTCGCCTCAGGCCACTCCTCTGTCTACTCGCCACTCGCTCTCAGCTCTGCCTTCGGATGAGTCCGTAGAGTCGAGTGGCCCGTACCCAGAGCTTGTTGGCTGCCTCATGTACCTGATGACCTGCACACGACCTGACCTTGCATACCCTCTTAGCATTCTTTCACGCTATGTTGCTCCTGGGAGACACCGACCAGAGCACATGGCTGCAGCGAAGAGGGTGTTGCGCTACTTGTGCAGTACGTCGGGCATGGGGCTAGTGCTTGGAGGGCGGAGTCCAGTGGTCCTCACTGGGCACGCGGACGCTTCTTGGGCAGACGACCAGGCTACACAGCGGTCGTCGCAGGGTTACACCTTCAGTCTTGGTTCCGGCTCTGTCTCGTGGCGGGCTACTCGCTCGTCCTCTGTTCTCAGCTCCAGTTGTGAGGCTGAGATCTACGCCGGGGCCATGGCTGCACAGGAGCTTCGCTGGCTCACCTACCTGCTGACTGACCTTGGAGAGCCGCCTCGTTCTCCTCCAGTGTTGTACGTAGACAACAAGGCCATGCTGGCCTTGTGTCGAGAGCAGCGCTTGGAGCACAGAACGAAGCACATTGCTCTCCGTTACTTTCTTGCTCGTGAGCTGCAGCAGCGTGGTCAGTTGCGACTTGCGTACGTGGCCTCTGAGGCCAACACTGCTGATGTGTTCACCAAGGCACTTGCGCCTTGTGACCATCAGCGCTTCTGCACCCAGCTGGGTCTTGTACCTGTCTTGCCTCACTTGCTCTCTTCTTGACCTTGCTTGTACTGTCACATATATATACCTGCTCTTGCTTGTCTAGCTCTATATATATATGTGTACTCCTGCATGTGAACTGGCCCTGTTGCCCTGTCGTTGTGCTCGGACTGTGTGGTGACTTTGTGATCCACCCTGAGCTTGCTCTGCTTTGCTTGACTGGTCTTGTGACCCCTTGTTCTCCCCCACTTTGCCTATGGGGGTGTGTCAGAACATATATATAGCTTATGCTGTTGTGTAGGCTATAGTGGGGTATCCCATAGGGGGTACAACCCAATTAGGGTTTCCCATATGTACTCACTTCATTCATAGTTCATTCATTCTCGTTCTACTTTTCTCATGGGAGACGAGGCGAGTTCGGGTTCCAGTGTGAGTCTTGGAGACCCGCAGTTGAAGACTCTTCTCAAGGCCCTTGCGAGTGGCCGATTGGTGGCGAAACCGACGATCGGGCTCAGTGAAGCTCAGCGCTTCAATGGGAGCAACTACAACGTGTGGCGGAAGAAGTTCATTCGGAGGGCAGAGGAGGTTGACCTCTTGCCGTACTACCGTCCCGACGAGGAGACGATGGAGGGAGTTGCGCCTTCCACGACGGATACGAAGGAGAAAATAGCGGCGTTCAAAAAACAAAGTAAGCAAGCGTTCTTTCAGCTTTGTCACTCAGTTGCCGATGGAATCGCGGTGGATTTGGACCAGTTTGCAGGGGAGCTGAACTCTGCACAGAAAGCATGGGAGTACCTGGAGTCCACGTACATGGGCACCAACGATGTCAACAAGAAGGCGATCAGGAAGCAGCTGCTGATGCTGCGCATGGAGAAAGGCGAGAAAATCATCACCTACATCAACAGGGCGAAAAGCTACAACGACGATTTGCGGGTGATGGGAGCCGCGGAGACGGAGCATGAGATGATTGACTATATCTTCCAAGGCCTTCCTAAGGAGTGGGAATCCGACATCGGTATGTTTACGTACCAACCGCCGGAGAGTTTGACGAAGCTGCAGGAGATTCTACAGTCGCTTGAGACGATGAAGGAGATGAGGAAAAAGAAAGCGGCAGCAGCAGCTAAGGAATTCGACGAGGAAAGGCCGGCTATGGTGAATGCAATGAAGGCGTTTGGAGCGTGCTACCAATGTGGAAAAAGGGGGCATAAGGCGATAAACTGCTACGAAAACCTGCGAAGCAGAAACTACAAGGGCAAAGCGATGGAGAACGATAAAGGAGAAAATGAGGGAGCGGAGTGGCAGCATAAACGAGTTTTTGGCGCTCATGTCTCTACCTCCCCTTCCTCCATCTCCACCTCTTCCCCCTTCTCTCCCTCAAACAAACAATGCCTCCCCGCCATGAGTGGCGTCCACCACTCCCTGGGTAACGGAGTGTCTCAAACGTCTCCAACTCCCTCTCCTTGCCCACCCTACCAGTTCCCGTGCCCCCTTACCTCCTCCCGCCCCCCCTTTCCCCCTTACCTCCTCCCGCCCACCCTCCTCTCCCCCCACCCCACCAACGCGCAGCCCTCCAATGCGCCCTGGGTGGCGGAGTGTTGCTTATGTCTCGTATTACCTCTTCCCTCCAATCCTACCCATGCCCCCGCTTTTCATTTCCCCTTGCCCCCCTCCCTCCCACCCGTTGCCCCCCTTTTTCTCCTGCCCGTTCGCAGCATCCATCACTCTGGCGGCCAGGTGTTGCTCATGTCTGTAGCTCCCTCTTCCCACCCACCGTTCTTCTGCTCGCCTCTCTCCAATCCCGCTTCCTGCTTTTCCCCGTCGCCCCCGACGCAGCATCCACCACTCCATGGGCGACGGCGTGTCGCTCATGTCTCTCCTGCTCGCCTGCACCCGCCGCACTGACAACCCCGCCCTCCTCCCCACCCTCCCCACCGCCAAGCGGCAGACTGGCTCCCAGCCCAGCAGTGCAGCTGCAGCTGCAGTGGTGGTGGTGGAGGAGAGTGAGGAGCTGCGGAAGCAGCTGGATGACGTGGGAGAGCCCGAGAAGGAACAGTTAAAGCCCGGGAAAGTACACATGCCGTCTGCAGCATCGGCATTCACGCTTGACTCGATGACCGAATCGCCGTTCGCCCCAGACCCAGTCAGGCAGGCAGCAGCAGAAGCGGCAGTACCTTCAGAAAGGGTTACAGCAGATGCGGGTGGGAGTGCGGGTGCGGGTGGTGGGGGTGCCATGGGGAAAGGGGCAGGGGCGGCAGGAAAGAGAGGGGGAGTGGGAGGGTTGGTGGGTGTGGGGAGGTGGATGTGGCAAGTGATAGCTGTGTTGGGGAACACGCTGTGGCACGTGTCAACGTTCATGGCTGTGCTGCTGTGGCGCGCTGATACTGCCACGTGCGTCAAGATGAAGTCGGGGAGTGGTGGCGCGCAGAAGAAGGCGGGGAAAGGGAGCAGTGCAGTGCTGCAGCACCCGGAGGAGGGGAGAGGGGAGGTGCAGACTGGGGGAGGGGATGCTGTGGGAGGGGATGGGAGTGGAGATGGAGGAGGGGGAAGGTTTGTGTTTGGAGTGAGTGGGCCGATGAGCCTGACTGACATTTCGAGGGTCAGACGAGCCTTTGGTGCGGTGAGTCCTGTGCGGCTGGCAATATCAGAGGACGTCACCATGATTGCAATATCACTCTGTCTGTAACGCATCCGTCTGTGGCTCACACCTTAAACCCTGAACAAATAACGATGTCACTGTGATTGCATGCTCGAACTTCCTTTCCTTGCAAATCCCCCCTCTTCCACCTCCCCTTCCACATCCCCGGCGTTCCACGTCCCTTTTTACATCCCCTCGCATGCCCCATCAGATCATTAACGATGTGATGGTGACGGTGATCGCAGGAGGTCTCGATCACTACGTGCGCCACCAACACGACTTTTTAGCCAATTAAAAAATCTCTCACATCCCCTTCGTCCCACACCCCGTCAGACCATCAACGATGTGATGGTGACGGTAATCTCAGGGGGACTCGACCGTTACCTGCGCCACCACCACGAGCAGCAGGCAGAGAGAGCAGGTGAGCTAGACGCATTGCATCATTGCCTTGGCAGGGTTGTTTCTTTCGCCACCACCACGACCACCAAACACAGAAAGCAGGTAGGCTCAAGCATGATGAGTGATGACAGCTGAAAGAGCAGGTGAGTGGGAGCATGGTATGCACTCACCAGGGCTCCACTGCTCACGCATCACATACACTCTCTCTCCCTCTGCCAACTCCTCACAACCGTACCCTTTGCCTCTGCTAACCAACCATCCACTCCTCTTCTTACTAATCTCCTGTTCACCCTCCTTGATGCTACTCCCTTTTTGCTTACAGGAGAGCCTACCCCAGTTGCCACCTCCCCACTGCCTACCACTGTTCGCCTCAGCGCTGTCTGTGTTGTCAACATCCGCCCCGCGCCTGGGCTTCAGGTAAACCTTCCCCAGTGAGCCTGGCACTTCAAATTACCAACTTCACATTGACCTACCTACCCCAGTTGCCACCTACCCGCTACCTGCCTGTGTTTGCATTCGCAACGCCATCTGCATTGTAAACATCCGCCCAGCGCCTGAGCTTCAGGTAAACCTCCCCCAGGAAAGCCTGCACTCCAATTTACCAGCTTCAGGCACACCTGGCAATCGGCTGGCAGGTGTAGCAGTGCCAGGCAGCTGGTGGTTAAAAGGGCCGTTGAGTCAATCCACCCTCACACAATGATGCTTTATCTTCACAATGCACCGCACTGCACCATGCCGCACCGCACACCACTGTGTGCACGTCTACCTTCTATTCCTCAGCTCATTTGAAATTTCTTCCTCACCTTCATCCCACCCAACCCCAAGCCTTCCAACCCCACCTTCTCCTCCTGTGCTGCTCCTCCACTCCGTTTTCCCTTTCCTCCAACCTTCTCTTCTCTAGCCTTTCCTTTACTTCCCTCCCTTTCCCTCTCCTCCCCTTTGCCTCCTCCCAGGAAATGACTTCCATGCCTGCCGGACGCTCCAAGCCACGCTGTATCAACAGCTTCTGAACCTTCCTACTGCTCTACGCTGTTTCCCCTTTACCAGATCTCCCCTATTTTCCCCTTCCTTCCGCTCTCCTCCTCCCCCTTCCAGGAAATATCCTCCATGCTCGCTGGCCGATCCAAGGCACGCTGGGGCAACTGCCTCGGAACCTTCCTGCTGCCCCTGCCTGTGCACTCGCCCGCACTCACCAACGGCCTGCCGACTAGAAACGGCAGCAGCGACAGCAAGAGCAGCAACGGCACGCAAGGGGTGAATGGAATCCCCAAGAGCGAGCAGGCGGCAGGGGAGGCGGAGGGAATGGTGAAGAGCAAAGAAGGGGGTGCAGCAGGGGAGATGGAGCAGCGGCGGCTGCGCATGGTGGCGAGCATGTGTGCGTCCAAGCGGCAGTCTCTGGAGGCTCATTACAACTATGTCAATGCGAGACTCGTGCTCGCAACAGCCGGCATGAAGGTGAGTGAGCTGTGTGTCACTGAGGTGACCTTTGAGGCGCCGCAAAAGGCTGCGCATGGTGGCGAGCATGTGTGCATCCAAACGGCAGTCTCTGGAGGCTCATTACAGTTATTTCAATGCAAGGCTTGTCCTTGCTACTGCTGGCATGATGGGAAGCTGTGTCTCGCTGAGGTGGCTTTTGAATCGACCCAAAAGCCACTGGGGGCTCATTTCAGTGTCAATGTAGAGACTTGTGCTCGCTCGCCCCCTTTTTTTTTTTTCTTGTACTACGCTCGGTTCGGCTTTTTTGCAATCTTAGGCAGCAAGGGCACTGATGCACCGCCTGCGCCACCTCAGGTTGGGAGGCCTGTGGCACATCTCCTTCTCCAACATGATGGGTCCCATGGAGGAGGCTTGTCTCCTCAGCACATACCTTATTTCCACCCCTTTAAACCTCTCTCAACTCCCGCAGGCAGCATGCACCCTGATGGGCGCCTGTTGGATCAGACGACCATCTCGTTTTCCAACATGATGGGACCCGTGGAGGAGGTCAGCCTTGGGGGGCATGCCATCGAGCACATCAACCTTCTAAACCCCTTTAAACCCTCTCTAAACTTATCTAACCCTCTGGTGAACCCTTCCAGTCAGCGTGCACGCTGATGGGACGCCTGCTGGACCAGACAACCCTCTCCTTCTCCAACATGATGGGGCCCGTGGAGGAAGTGAGCCTGGGGGGGCATGCCATCGAGCGCATCAGCCCCACCGTCCTGGGACAGCCACATGTGAGTCATGTGTGATGGGTGATGGGTGCGTGTGAGTGATGTGTGATGAGTGCATGTGTGCATGCGAGGTGGCCGTGGAGGGGGTGAGCCTGGGAAGGCATGCCATTGAGCGGATCAGCCCGACCGTCCTGGGACAGCCACATGTGAGCCATGTGTGATTGGTGCATGAGTGATCGGACGATGATTGCACACGAGGTGCTGTTGGGGCCTGTGGCGGTGGTCAGCCTCGGGGGGGCATGCCATCGAGCGCATCAGCCATCGATGCCGTCGAGCGCATCAGCCCCACCGTTGTGGGTCAGCTGCATGCGAGTGATGTGTCATGGGTGTACGTGAGTCGTGGGTGCTGGGCTGGGTGTATGTGAGTCATGTGTACTGGTGGTATGTGAGTCATGTGTACTGGTGGTATGTGAGTCATGTGTACTGGTGGTATGTGAGTCATGTGTACTGGTGGTATGTGAGTCATGTGTACTGGTGGTATGTGAGTCATGTGTACTGGTGGTATGTGAGTCATGTGTACTGGTGGTATGTGAGTCATGTGTACTGGTGGTATGTGAGTCATGTGTACTGGTGGTATGTGAGTCATGTGTACTGGTGGTATGTGAGTCATGTGTACTGGTGGTATGAGAGTCATGTGTACTGGTGGTATGTGAGTCATGTGTACTGGTGGTATGTGAGTCATGTGTACTGGTGGTATGTGAGTCATGTGCACTGGTGGTATGTGAGTCATGTGTACTGGTGGTATGTGAGTCATGTGTACTGGTGGTATGTGAGTCATGTGTACTGGTGGTATGTGAGTCATGTGTACTGGTGGTATGTGAGTCATGTGTACTGGTGGTATGTGAGTCATGTGTACTGGTGGTATGAGAGTCATGTGTACTGGTGGTATGTGAGTCATGTGTACTGGTGGTATGTGAGTCATGTGTACTGGTGGTATGTGAGTCATGTGTACTGGTGGTATGTGAGTCATGTGTACTGGTGGTATGTGAGTCATGTGTACTGGTGGTATGTGAGTCATGTGTACTGGTGGTATGTGAGTCATGTGTACTGGTGGTATGTGAGTCATGTGTACTGGTGGTATGTGATTCATATGTACTGGTGGTATGTGAGTCATGTGTACTGGTGGTATGTGAGTCATGTGTACTGGTGGTATGTGAGTCATGTGTACTGGTGGTATGTGAGTCATGTGTACTGGTGGTATGTGAGTCATGTGTACTGGTGGTATGTGAGTCATGTGTACTGGTGGTATGTGAGTCATGTGTACTGGTGGTATGTGAGTCATGTGTACTGGTGGTATGTGAGTTGTGGGTGCTGCTGGGTGTATGTGAGTTGTAGGTGCTGGGTGTATGTGTGTGAGTCATGGGTGCTGGGTGTATGTGAGTCATGTGTGATGGGTGCATGTGGGAGTGATATATGATGGGTGCATGAGAGAGTGATGTGGCATGGGTGGATGTGAGAGTGATGTGCCATGGGTGCATGTGAGAGTGATGTGTCATGGGTGCATGTGAGAGTGATGTGCCATGGGTGCATGTGAGAGTGATGTGTCATGAGTGCATGTGATGTGAGAGTGATGTGCCATGGGTGCATGTGAGAGTGATGTGTCATGAGTGCATGTGATGTGAGAGTGATGTGCCATGGGGCAGCACACGTAATACTTTTCCCAGCAATCACTCTTCCCTTTCCCCCTCAGGCACTCACGCTGCATTTGCAGACATACAATGGGACGGCACACATAGTGCTGTCAGGTGTGAGGGAGAGAGAACCTTTCGGATCCAGCCTTTTACCACAATCCCCCCCCCTACCTTCTATCTCCCTCTTCCCCCTCCCCCCTTTTCAGGCACTCACGCTGCATTTCCAGACATACAATGGGGCGGCACACATAGTCCTCTCAGCCATCAGGGAGAATGTGCCGGATCCAGCCTTCCTCATGCGCTGCTGTGAAGACGCCTTTGCTGCTCTCCAGGCATCGGTGCATTGAAGCTGCTCTATTTCCAAAGCGCTTCTGCTTCACTAATTCAGCATTTCTTGCAAGCTGCTCTAAGACACTGTTTAGCCTTGCCGCAACCAAGTACTAATTTGGGTTGGTGATGCGACGCCGTGTGGCAACATTCGGTGTTACATGCACGTGGTTTGGGGATAGTTGCATATGTCCGTGCACATGTCATTTCATTACAATAACATACTCAAAAACTACCGTTGCGAAACACTCGCTTCAGTTCAGTGCCAGTTGCTTTGTTCTTTCTAGAATCTTGCGATTTTGTGTTGTTGTTCAGGTTCATTTATTGGTTTATGGTTCGTTTCTAGTGCTGCGCAAGCATATTTCTTGTCAATGATTGAACAAGGATTGCATACCGGTATTAATAACGCGTAGAAAACAGTACTTTCCAAGTCAATATTATGTTGAAGAATGTAGTACAGATTGTATGAATCCCGTTACTTTGTAAGAGCTGTACCTCAGTGTTACACGAGAATCAAGGCCCGTTGATAAGGAAGATGCGAAGCATGGGATAATATCTAGGCGCTTTTCTCCAGCATGGGCTGGCGGCTGAATCCATGGCACCCTTTCATTTACCTCCTAGTCACTCACATCTCAGGTGCTTCACCTACGCAGGAGAAACTTTGGCCAAAGTGAGATTTTCCCTTAGTTTAGATTATGGGAGATCCGGTTTGAATTTTCGTTCATAGGCTCGCGAAAGGCTTTGTAATTCGTCATGATGGACAGCCGGTCCGCAGCTCGTCGCTCGTCAGAAGCGAAATCGGGATCGGATTCGGAAGGAGCGAACGACATGCGAGACGAGGAACGCGGGTGGAGCCCGTCGGAGGGAAGCGAGGGGTCGAGCGACGGCAGCAGAGGCGCGGAGGAGGCGCAGCGCGGAAATAACGCGCGGAGAGCGGCGGCGGAGGTTGTAGCAGAGGCGGAAGAAGATTCAGGCGTGCGGGAAGTGGAGGAAGAGGAACTAGGGGATGAGGCGGAGGCGGAGGAGGGGGAGGAGGGGGAGGAGGAAGGGGAGGAGGGGGACGACGATGCGGACGAGCCTCCTGAGGAGTCTTTTCAGCCTTTTCAGTTTGCGCCCGATTCCCCTCCCCCCGCGGCTCTTCCGCTCCCCGAGATGTCCCCCGCGCCCTTGGAACGCGCGCGAGTCACGACCCCATCTGACGACGACGAGGATGATGATGACGTGGCGGATGACGACGATGACGTGGACGAAGATCGTCGCATGGGCCCGCGGCTGCCACGTCGGCCTGCGAGAGCCGCAGGATCCACTCGGGCTGTAGCGCGGGGGACGGCTGTAGCGCCGGAGATGACTGTAGCGGATCTGGAGTTCCCAGGGTCGCTGCTGGGGACGATCGTGGACGGGTTGGGCAAGTGGCCTTGGACGGTTTGGCCTAACCACATGCGCTCCTGCCTCGCTGCCGCTGCTCGCATACTCCACGCTGCTACTCCCGCTGCTGATGCTGGTTCTGGTGCTGCTGCTTCTGCTGGTGCGGCTGGTGCTGCACCTGTCGCAGCAGACCCGGACGAGTCAGGTCCTATAGTGAGTCCCGCGGTGCGAGCAGAGGCGCAGCGGCTGATGCGACGCGCTGTGCTGAAGCGCAAGCTGGCGACGCTCTTCCGGGAGGCCGCGCCCAGCCTGTTTGAGAAGTGCCTGGACGACCGCGCCATCTGGAAGTGGGGACGCGACGTGCATGGGAATATCTTCGAGGCGTTTGTTTCCCTTATGGATGTGATTGTACTGAAGCTGCTTGAGTTGATTATAGCGAGGGAGGCTCTGGCGGATGCAGCGGCTGCTGTGGCTGCTGCGGCTGGAGAAGGAGTGGTGGGTGGAGGGGAGGGGGACGGGCAGGGGGAGAGAGTGAGGGAGAGGAAGGAGGAGGTTGAGGAGGCAGAGAGGAGGAGTGTGGAGGTAGAAGAGGAGATAGCAGCGCTTCTAACAGCCATGGCGCAGGGATGGGACAGCACGTGTCAGTTCCACTGCAAACACAAGAACGAGCAGCTGCCACGTGTCGCGCCGCGATTGGACCGCCCGTGCTTCTATGCCATCTCCCTGCCCCTAGACCCCGCCCCAATCGGCCCCTCCCTCCCCGGACTCCCTTCCCCCGGATCCCAGGCGGCTGGGGGGAGGAGAGGCGGGGGGGAAAGGGGGGAAGAAGGGGAGGGCGGAAGCGTGGGCTCGCACCAGTGGCTGGTGCGGTTTCTGAACTACTTTGGGCAGACGGCGTATGGGAATGGGTATGGACGCGTGGTGCAGGTGCTTCTGAGGCTCATGTCGGGGTTTGACAGGCAGATCGAAGCACATGCTGCTAGGCTAGGAACAATCAGACAAGAGCACGAACGGCAGCAACGGCACAAGTGGCAGGAGCAGCAGGGACGGCAGGAGGGTTTCGTGGGCAGGAAGGCGGGATTACCACCCCCATCGCCGTCCCCACCTCTCCCCCGCATCCCCTGGCCGCGCATGCCTCTGGTGGCTGTAGAGGCACTGCTGCGCCCCCTGGCAACTGCAGCAGAGTTCCTCACCCCTCACGTCGGCAACATGCTGCTGCAGGTAGGTACCTTTTGAGTCGACTCTAAAGTCCCTCCCCTTCTTCCCCGTCTCTCCAACACGCCCCCCTGCCGCCGCGCATGCCTTTGGTGGTGGTAGAGGTGCTGCTGCGACCCCTGGCAACAGCAGCAGCGTTCCCCACTCCTCACGTCGGCAACATGCCTGGTGGTGGTGGTGGTGGTGGTGGTGGTGGGGGTGGGGGTCTCATCATGCCTCATCCCTGTGATTCACGCCTTGATCTTCTTGGCATTTGATATATGTGTCGCGCTGTTTGCTGCTAGCCTGTCACCCTGGCAGCAGCAGCAGCCGAGTTCCCCACTCCTCACGTTGGCAACATGCTGCTGCTGGTGGGTGGGGATTGGGGCTCACTTCGTGGCTGTCGTCGAGCCTAGCTTGTGACGACAGCCTTTGTGCTTGATTTGGTGTTATGTTGCTTTCACCTTCTGCGTTCATCTAGTCCGTCTACTTATTCTGATTTGCAAGTTTGCTGCGTTCCCTGGTAACGGCAGCAGAGTTTCTCACTCCACACGTCAGCAACATGCTGCTGCTTGTTGGGGTTGGCGCGTTTGGCCCTTTCAACTTCTCTCACTGAATGCCCTTTCAACTTCTCTCACTGAATGCCCTTTCAACTTCTCTCACTGAATGCCCTTTCAACTTCTCTCACTGAATGCCCTTTCAACTTCTCTCACTGAATGCCCTTTCAACTTCTCTCACTGAATGCCCTTTCAACTTCTCTCACTGAATGCCCTTTCAACTTCTCTCACTGAATGCCCTTTCAACTTCTCTCACTGAATGCCCTTTCAACTTCTCTCACTGAATGCCCTTTCAACTTCTCTCACTGAATGCCCTTTCAACTTCTCTCACTGAATGCCCTTTCAACTTCTCTCACTGAATGCACTTCTTAGATACAATTGCTCTTTCCTTGGTTGCACGTATTGCATTCATCTCGCTCCCCTCTCTCCTCTCCGCCTCCCTCTTTGTATTTCGGAGCTTCCAGTCTTGAAGATTCCCCTTCCGCTCGTTCACTAACCTCCTCCTTCTGTCTGTTCAACCACGAAGATTCACCTTCTCTCACCACCGCTCGCTGAAACATGTGGTCACCCTTCTCTTACCTCCGCTGTCTGAAACACGTGGTCACCCTTCTCTTACCTCCGCTGTCTGAAACACGTGGTCACTCTTCTTCCATACTTTCCCTCTCTCTGCGTCTCATCTCACTGGCTCTCTTAAACGTGCAGAGCAGAGCCGTCCTGCCAGTTCGACAAGAAGTATTCTTACTTACCTGCATACTTCTTGTTTCTCCCTCTCTCGGCACTCTCCTCGCTCTGTCCCTCTCTCCCCCCCCCCATCGGCCGTGCAGGGCCACCCTGCTGGCCATAACCAGCAGCGCTGCATCAGAAGAAATCACATGGGTTCACTCAACGAGGGGCCCAGGGACGGCTCCTTCCACTGCCTCTCACTCACCCTGTTCCCCCTGCCCCCTCCTCCCTCTCTCCCTCACCCTCTCTCCCTCAAGCAGTCCTCTCTCCCTCTCTCTCTCTCTCCCCCTCCCTCCCTTCCCCACCGTACCCACCAGCCCTGCAAGGAATTGCTGCTGGCCATAACGCGGTGCATCGGCTACCACATGGAATCTCTAAACGAGGGCCCCCGGGACGGCTCCTTCCAGTGCCTGTCACTCACTCTGCGCCACGTTCGCGCGCTGCTCGCCCTGCCCTCCTCTGCTAGTAGTGTTCGCGACATTCTCTTTGACATTAGTCTTGCGGAGGCAGAGGAGGAAGAAGAGGAAGAAGAGGAAGAGGAGGAGGAGGAGGATGAGGATGCTGATGTTGACGATGTGGAGGTGGTAGCAGAGGCAGTAGTGGGGACGGTGCAGAGGCTGATGGTGAAGCGCATGCTGGGAGCGCCATCGTTCAGCAAGCAGCTCTCGGCTGCCAGGGAGATCAACCGCATGCTCGAAAGCTCAGCTGCTCTGAAGATGAGGTGAGTGAGTGAGTGGTGGTGACTTGTTGATGGGTGTATGGGGCAGCATGGGAGAGCATAGTGCAGCGCATGCTGGGAGCGCCATCGTTCAGCAAGCAGGCGGCCAGGGAGATCAACCGCATGCTCGAAAGCTCAGCTGCTCTGAAGATGAGGTGAGTGAGTGGTCTTGTGGCGTTCCGGGTGCAGATGATATGAGGTGAGCTGGGGGTGAGGTGAGGTGGTTGATTATGAGTGGGGTAGTGGGGGCGGTGCAGAGGCGCATGGTGCTGCAGCGCATGTTGGGAGTGCCATCGTTCAGCAAGCAGCTGTCAACAGCTGTCGGCTGTTGATGGGTGTGTGTATGGGGCAGCATGGGAGAGCATGGTGAAGCGCATGCTGGGAGTGCTTTCATTCAGCAAGCAGCTGTCAGCCACCAGAGAAATCAACCGCATGCTCGAGATTCTGTTGTCTTGTTTATATATGTATATTTGTGGTGACGTGCCATGTGCCATGTGTATGTTATGTGGCTTCTGATACAAGGAAGAGTTTTGAGTAAACTCAGACATGCAAGTTCTTGTTTTGTTCACTGATGCGCCATGTGTGTGTGATTTCAGGGACAAGGGAGCAGCCTTGAGATCAACAATCAATTGGCTGGAGGCCAATAAGATTCTGCCACTTGTCCTGCGCTCCAACCTGCACCACAAGCAATACGTGGACCAAGTACGTCCTCTTGTGCGCCGGCCTTGTTTTTGTTGTTGTCGTTGGTTTTTTTTTTTTTTGAAAAACATCTAACTAATATGGTGGAATTTCCTCCCTCCCTGTTTCGCACCAACTATCCGTCGTGCGAATCATGAGGGCGCTGCTCAACCAGCGCTGCTCGACGCCGTGTGGGCCGCGACTGAGAAGCCTCGTCTTATCTCCTTCCCTCTTCCCCTCGGGATGAGCAAAAAAGCGAACACCTGTTCGGTTCGCCTCGAACTTTTTTTGGCTTAAAGTGTTCGCCGAACAGTGTTCGAGGTTCGCCCGAACACGTTCGTGTTCGGGCCGCTGCTTCAATTTGCCCCTAGACGAACACGAACGTGTTCGAGGTTCGCCCGAACACGCCTTCATAGGCGAACGGTGAACACCTGTTTTTGCTTAAGGTGTTCGCCGAACCGAACAGTGTTCGGTTCGCCGAACAGGGGTGTTCGTGCATGGGCGAACGCGAACACGTTCATGTTCGCCCCTTGCTCATCCCCTCTTCCCCTCTTCCCCTCTTCCCCCCACCACCCTCCTCCCTCCCAACAAAACCCCCTTCTTCCCCAGGTCGTGCGAATCATGCGAGCGCTGCTCAACCAGCATCGCCGTGTGGGCTGCCACTGAGAAGCCTCGTCTTATTCCTCCGCCCTTGCCCCCATTCTCCCCCAGGTGGTAAAGATCATGAGGGCGCTGCTCAACCAGCGTCGCCTGCTGGGGAAGCACCTGGACGCCGTGTGGGCTGCCACTGAGAAGCCCGACCAGTTTGAAGCGGTGAGGCATGGTGTGAAGCGGTGAGGTGTGGTTTGAGTGCGATGAGTGAGATGTATGGGTTGGGCTTCTGTTTTTTTAGGCGCCTTAGCGATTGTCGCGTGGTAGGGAAACATCTGGACAGGGTGGGATCAGGCAGCTGAAAAAGCTCAGGTGACCCGAGGCCGTGCAGGCGAGCCTAGGAGAAGCAGTCGAGAATGTCCAGGTAGTGAGGCATTCATAGAGCATCATGGCGTGGCGAAGCTAAGCTTCCCCTTATTCCTTCCTTCCTCTCCCTGGCAGGTGAAGAACAAGCTGCCATTTGACCTGCTGGCGGAGCTAGCCTGGTCCTTCCCCTATGATCACCTCGACTCTCGTTCCTCCCCTCCTCATGCTCCCCCCCTCGACTTCCCCCTTATTCCTTCCTTCCTCTCGCTGTGCAGGTGAAGAACAACATTTTCGATCTGCTGGCGGAGCTGGCCTGGTCCTTCTCAGACGAGCAGCTCGACTCTCTCTTCTCCCGCCTGCAGCACATCCAGGTCTGACCGCTGCTGCTCTCTGATGACATGCATGAAACATCACACAGATAGTGGGACGCATGATAGTTGGCAAGGTATGGACTGCCATGATTACCTCGACTCGCTCTTCTCCCGCCTGCAACACATACAGGTGACCGCTGCTGCTCTCACGCCTTCCTTCTTCATGCATTTGCTTGACTTGAAAAGAAAAGGACCACTCTGCCAGTGTCCCATGGTGGCATGGCATGTGCGTAGCCTCGTAGGCTTCTCTCCAGAGCCGAGCCAAGCTTCACACATGTGAGTGGGGTGGGTGCAATTGTTTGTTATTCTAAGCCAAGGCACATGAACGAACCCACCCACTCACATGTGTGAAGCTTGCGCTCTGAATGTGTACGCAACGTGCCACCTCTCTGCCTCCTCCCACCCATTCCAGGGTCACGTAGACAGCAAATGGCAGAAAATCACACCTTCGGAGTTGAATTTGCTTTTATGTCGACTAAAAAAACCTCCTACCCATTCCAGGGTCACGTAGACAGCGAGTGGCAGAAAATCACTCCTTCTGAGTTGAACCAAGCCGACTTCTTTCTTCCTTTCCCCCCTCTCCACCAGGGTCGCTCAGCAGCAGACATCGCAAAGCTGATGCAGCTGGTGGGAAAGCCAGGCATGTGAGGAGAAGTCCTCACCTCACATTCCTATACGAATTTCCTGAGCTGATCTTAGCCCGCTTCTTTGCTCCTTCCTCCCCGCCCCACCAGGGTCGCTCAGCGGCAGATATAGCGAAGCTGATGCAGCTGGTGAAGAAGCTCGCGCGGTCCGACACCCGTGGCGTCATGGCCTCCAGGTGAATTTTCGTGGGTTTCAGGTGATGTTTCGTTTAGGTGAAATCTGTAGGTTCTGGTGAATTCCTGTAGCTTTCGTGCCTGTCAGTTGGATTTTAAATGCAAATGGTGCAGCAATCTGCTGTACTCTCACTTTTCACAGCAGAGCTGGTGCCTAATTCTTTCATTTTCTAATTTTCTTGGAGAGAGGGGACCCTCCTATTCCCTCCTTGCAGGCTGCTCCAGCCAGCTGCTCTGGACGCTCGTGTTTGACCCGCCTCACACCCACTCAGTTCCAACAGAGTCAGCATCATCAGCAGCAGCATCGGCAGCAGCATCAGCATTGGTTTCCACTCATTCTTCTGTCCCATCTTCCCCCCTACACTCTCCATACAGGCTGCTGCAGCTTCTCTGGACACTCGTATTCGACCCGCCTCACACCCATGCAGTCCCAACGTCAGGGTCAGCGTCAGCATCAGCACCAGCATCAGCAGCAGCATCGGCAGCAGCACTGGCAGCAGCTGCAGATGTTGCGTCAGTGAACGTGCTTGAATCGAAGGCCCTCACGGAGGTGTTGGGCCACTATGCTTCTGTTGGGTGTGCTAATAAAGAGGTGGGACCCTTTCACTATCAATTTTCTGGTTCGTGAGTAATATGTTCTTTCAGGGGTTTGTTTTTGTGTTCCATTTTTTGTCCATGAGTGCTCTCAGTATTTCTCCGTTTTCTTCTTTCCCCCCCATGCTACACTTCTCAGGAGTAATGCAGTGCCTGCCTGCAGACCTTCCTTTTCCCTTCTCGAAAAAGGGAGTGCTATTTCTCCATTCTCCACACACTCCATCCCTCCCGCTATTTCTTCCTCACTTCCCATTCACAGGAGTACATGCAGCGCTGCCTGCAGGCCATCTCGCGGGAGGAGAGTGTCATTCTTCCTATTCTCATTTAACCCCCTCCCCTCCCCGTCCCTCTCTCCTCCCCCCTCCAAAACCCCCCTTCCCCTCTCCCCACCGCGACCCCTTCTTTCTCTCTTACAGGAGTACATGCAACGCTGCCTACAAGCCATCTCGCGGGAAGAGAGTGTCATACCAGCCCTCCAGCTGCTGCGAGAGATCATCTCTCTGCACCCCAACCCCGCTCCACCTGCTGAGGTGATTCTTCAACCCCCTTGCACTCCTGCATTTCCCCTTCCTCCATGTGCGGGAGATCATCTCTCTGCACCCCAACCCCGCTCCACCTGCTGAGGTGCTGCTCTCACCGCCTTGCACTCCTCCGTTTGCCCTTCCATTCCTTTTATTCGGAAAATCATCTCTCTGCACCCCAACTGCGCTCCACCTGTCGAGGTGCATGTGTGTTACTGTGTGTGCGTGTGTGCAGCATGCAAGTGTGCGTGTGTGCAATTTGTTTCTGTCTTGTTATGTGCATGTTAAAGTTGCCTCCCTCCCTGCCTCACTACTGCATGCCTCTCGTTCTTGCATATCCTCACCTCATGCCTTCCTCATTCCGTGTATGCTTCATTCCTTCGTTGCTCGTCTCGTGTGTTGCAGGAGCAGCAGATGCTGCAGGCTCAGCTGCAATCACTGAATGCAAACCATGAGCTCGAGTACACTGTAAGCACGCATGCATTATTGAGGGGCCTCAAAATGGCAAACCATGAGCTCGAGTACACTGTAAGCATGCATGCAAGCAGTACTTTGTACCGCTATAATTCAGAACACTACAGTGCATGAGGTAAATTGTAAGAAGTGAAACAGTACACTGTACTGTAGGCATGTGTGACGTGGAATGGGTTGCATGCATGATCAGGTTGTATTTTCAGTTGCATATCTTAACCAGTGCCTTCATGACTCCAAGGTCTGCTTGTGTCACTCATCTCATGAGTGGCACGCTAGCATAGGGAGCACAGGAAGCACACATCGTCCGTTCTGGTTCTGACCTGAACCCCACACAGTCTGAGACCCTCTTTACCTCTCTACGCTCTTCCAGCCTTCAAAATCTTTCCTTCCCCTCTCTTCCTTTCCCCTCCTCTCCTTTTCCCTGTCCCTCCACTTCCCTTCCCACTCCCTCCTCCCCCTTGCAGGTACTGGGCAGTCTGCAGACGTACAAGGGTCTGGCCTGCTCCCTGTTCCCTTCCACATGCTCTTTCCCTGCGCTCAACTCCCCTTCCCCTTTTGTCCTTTTCTCCTTTCCTCCCTCCCCTCCCCCTTGCAGGTACTGGGCAGTCTACAGACCTACAAGGGCCTGGCCCGCTCCATGTTCGCCTCTGCACGCTCTGCCTCCCCCCACCAACCACAGCCCATGACTGCTCCAAGCAAACCTCTTCCAGTCAGCCCCGTTCCACCCAGCAGCAGCAGCTCACTACCTGTTCCAGACGCCAGCGTCCTGACCAGGAGTGACGGCAGTCCCATGCATGGCGTGGTGGTGGCGGAAGAGGTGAGGCAGGAGTGCCGTGGCGGCGGTGGGGTTGCGGCAGAAGAGGAGAGATCGTCGCCCGCTATGGACTGTGACGAGCCGCAAGGGCAGCAGCAGCAGGAGGAGCAGCAGAAGCACGGGCAGGAGGGGCGGCAGCAACAGCAGCAGTGCTCGCAGCAGCAGCAGCAGCAGCAGCAGCAGCAGCAGCAGCAGCAGCAGCAGCAGCAGCAGCAGCAGCAGCAGCAGCAGCAGCAGCAGCAGCAGCAGCAGCAGCAGCAGCAGCAGCAGCAGCAGCCAGCAGCAGCAGCAGCATCAGCAGCAGCAGCAGCAGCAGCAGCAGCAGCAGCAGCAGCAGCAGCAGCAGCAGCAGCAGCAGCAGCAGCAGCAGCAGCAGCAGCAGCAGCAGCAGCAGCAGCAGCAGCAGCAGCAGCAGCAGCAGCAGCAGCAGCAGCAGCAGCAGCAGCGCAGCAGCAGCAGCAGCAGCAGCAGCAGCAGCAGCAGCAGCAGCAGCAGCAGCAGCAGCAGCAGCAGCAGCAGCAGCAGCAGCAGCAGCAGCAGCAGCAGCAGCAGCAGCAGCAGCACGTGCAGCTGCAGCGGCAGTTGGAGCAGTGCACGTTGGTGGATGGAAGGCACTCCCACCGCGACAACATCACTGCCCGCCTCTCCTTCCTCCTCTGGGCGCTGCAGGTGCTTGCTTCCCCTCTTCTTTTCGTCATCCTTTCGTCGAGAGCTACGGGGGATATGGACTGAGCTAGTGGAGCACCCACGCCTGCCTTCTCAACACCCTTCCTGAATCTTTTATAAACCCCGTTTTAAACCTCTCACCAACCCCCGATTTCATTTCCTCTTGAACCATTCTCAAACCCCTCCCAAAACCTTTCTAAACCCTTCTTTAACCCTTCCAACCTCCAGGCGGGCGGCATGGAGCTACAGACAGAGGGGCTGGGGTGATTTGGACCGAGTTAGTGGAACACCCAGCATGTCTTCCCAGCTCGTCAAGGACCCGTGCCTGCTACACGCCTTTCTAAACCCCTTCATAATCCGTGAAACCGTAAATCTCTACCAACCTGCAGGCTGGAGGCACGGGGCTTGTTAGTGGAACACCCAGCATGTCTTCCCAGCTTGTCAAGGACCCGTGCCTGATTTCTCAGCACACCATTCCAAACCCCTTTCTACACCCGAAACCTCTACCATCCTGCAGGCAGGCGGCATGGAGCTACAGCCAGAGGGGCTGCGGGTGATATGGACGGAGTTAGTGGAACACCCAGCATGCCCTGATGACCGCCAGCTGGCGCTGACGTGGCTGTGTGATGCTGTGGAGGGGAGGGAGGGGGGGGAGTGGAGAGGAGAGGCGGGTGGGCGGATTGGGGAGGTGGGGAGTGTGGGCACAGGGGTCGGAGTGGTGGGAGGGGCCGTGAGCTCGACGGGACAGGTGGCGCTCTTGGATTGGTTGACGCAGCTGCCTCCGGAGCAGTTCTCGCCTGTGGCTTGGAGGTGGGTGGGCTTGCCAATGCCGTGGACTACTGTAGGTTGGAGGTTGCGTCCCCTCAGCCTCGTCCTTTGACCTTATTCTTTTAAGCAGCCCCATCCCTTCAAAGTTCAAACTAATCCCTCACCTTTTTTCCCCAACCCTATCTTGTTACTACTATCCCATCAACCCTGTTTCTCTCCCTCCGTTCTGCCCCTCGCCCTCTCCCACTAACTCACCCCTCCCTCTGTTCATTTCCCCGTAAATTTCCCTTTCTCATTCACTCGCACCTTCTCTCCTCACCAGGCTGTTCCATCGTATTTTCATCAGCGTCAACACAGCATCAGGCGTGCTCGCAGTCACCCCGGCACCACCGGGAGCAACACCAGCACCTGGATTGCTGGCACCAGCAGCAGCACTCCCAGTGGGAGCAGGAGCAGTATCAGGGGGAGCAGCAGCAGGGGAGGGCGTGCAGGTGGCAGTGGCGGGGGATGTGGGCGGGCTGAAGGGAGTGGACCTTGTGTGGTTGCTGGCTCTGCGCTGCCCCTCCCCTGCCATCTGGCAACCCTGCATCCAGCTATTAAGGGACCTGCACTCCTCGCTTGTAGCCCCAGAAAAGGTAGGTGCCGCAGTGTCGCGAGAGAGGGCGTGCAGGTGGCAGTGGCGGGGGGTGTGTGCGAGGTGAGGGGAGTGGAGCTCGTGTGGTCGCTGGCCCTGCGCTGCCCCTCCCCTGCCATCTTGCAACCCTGCACTGCATCCAGCTACTTAGGGACCTACACTCGTCCCTTGTCACTCCAGAAAGGTAGGTAGGGGCCACAGGGCTTCTTGTGCTGCCTTTCTGCTGCCCCTCCCCTGCCATCTGGCAGCCCTGCATTCAGCTGCTCAGGGACCTGCACTCGTCCCTTGTTGCCGCAGAAAAGGGTTCTGCCCTCTGCCCCACGCCCTAGGGTATGGCTCCGTGTGCTGCGCCGCTGCCCCGCTGCCCTGCTGCCGCCATCTATCAGCCCTGCATCCAGCTGCTCAGAGAGCTACATTCAAGCCTTGTGCAACAGGTGTCACCAGAGGGACAGCATGAGTAATGCATTGATCCCTTGTGCTCTTCATGGTACTGCAGAGCAGACCTTGGCATGCGCATGGTGGCGGTGCGGCATAGCTTCATAGGCGAGTGCATGCTCTCCCTCCCTTCCTCCCTTCCTCCCTTCCTCCCCTCCAAACCCCCCGTCCCCCGTTCCTTCCTGCCCAACTTCTATTCTTCAGGCCAAGCTAGTGGCGGTGCGGCAGAGCTTCATAAGCGAGTGCATGCGGCGCCTTGCTGCTGCGATGCAGCAGCTGGAGGGAGGGACAAGTGTGGAACATAACGGGCAGAAGTTGGGGGGGCATAACGGGACCGTGGAAGGGAGAAGCGCAGGAGGAGTGACGCCCACTGGGAGGGATGCTCTGCCCATGGAAACGAGTGCGGAGGAGAGTGATGGCGGGGAGAGGACGGGTGATGCTAGGGACGGTGGCGGTGGTGATGTGGCAATGGCTGGACAGGAGGACGAGGGTGGCTTGGAAGCGAGGGAGGAGGAGAGGGAGGGCGGGGGCGCAGGGAGTGGGGAGATGAATGGTGAAGGCAGGGGTGGTAAGGGTGGCAGGAGCAGCAAGGGTGGCAGCAGTTTGGAAGGGCAGGCGTCAGCAGAGGAGCAAGCACAACGCTGTCTCTTGCTCTTGACAGTAAGTTCGTCTTGAGACATCTCAAAGCACACACTGCCTCTTGCTCTTGACTCTAAGTGCGAGGGCAGCACATCGTTGCATTGGGTGAGTTAGAACGGCTGAACAACTTGCAAGTGTGCAAGAAAAGACACACCTTTCATATACATGCACACGTACAAGTTACATCTCGGACCCGACCACTTGCACTGCTCTTCTACCAAGAGTTCCACTCTTTCTTCTTCTTCCACTCATTGTTCCTCTCTTCTCAGGCAGGCGGTCAGAACCACTGTTCTCCTCCCATTGCATCATCACCTCCTCCATGCCCCATGCCCCTCTCCCCCACTTCCCCTCCCAGCAATTCCTCACGCGCTGTGAGGCCTCCTGCCCGCGCAAAGTCCCGGCCCATGGTGCCTCCTACCAGGGCAGGCCGTTTCAGGTGGAGGTGAGATGAGATCTGAGGCAGGCCGTTTCAGGTGGAGGTGAGATGAGATCTGAGGCAGGCCGTTTCAGGTGGAGGTGAGATGAGATCTGAGGCAGGCCGTTTCAGGTGGAGGTGAGATGAGATCTGAGGCAGGCCGTCTCAGTGGAGGTCAGATATGAGGCAGGTTGTTTCAGGTGGAGGTTAATTCTGAGGCAGGGCTTTTCAGGTGGAGATGAATTTTGAGGCAGGCCGTTTTGGGTGCAGGTGAGATCCGAGGCAGGCCGTTTCAGGTGGAGGTGTGAGATTCTTCTGTTGAGTTCTTGGTGATGACTCTGAAATGGTGGTAGTGCAGTAACAGGAGATACGTCAGTGTATTTGTGTGTGTGCGCATGTGCGCATGTGAGCACATACGCAGGCTCGTGTAACAAGAGAGTGGTAGCTTCCGTTCTTTATTTGATAGGCACGATGCTTTCAGATCCGTTGTTAACGGTCCTGTGTTTCTGAGTTGTTCTTGTTTTCTGAAAACTTTGGGCGAGCAGTTGACAGTGGCGCACAGCAAGCATATTAAGCTTGTTTAAGCCCCACCCCATCACATCCCATCCCATTCCATCCCATCCCATCCCATTCCATCCCATCCCACCGCATCCCATCCCACCGCATCCCATCCCTGCCATCAAGCAGGTGACAGTGGCACACAGCAAACATGTGAATTTCTTCGTTCACACGCATGCAAACGAGTACCTGCGCTTGCTGCGACTCAAGGTGGGCTACAACATACATGTGCATGCATAAACGTCTGTTTGTTTAATATATTAAATATTTGTATATATATATATATATATTCTGATGGAATCGTTTGCACTGTTCTTTTCCTGTTCCCCCTCTTTCTCTCAGCTTGCTGAAACTATTGCCCTGACTTGCGTTGACCTGCCTTGACTTGCCAGGTGGCCCACAAGCTCGAGTGTGACTTGGCGCGTGTGCGGCTGCTATTGGACGGCCATGAGCTGCTCTCTGATTGGCTCGTGCTCCGGCAATGCGGGATCACGGACGGGCGGCGACTCATTGCTTCTGTCATGGTGTGTGGTTCAGTTACAATGATTGTAGGTGTGTGACTGTAACGGATGCACTCTTAGGCTATTCCTGAACCGCCTAGAGGATTGTGTTCTTTCATTGTCTTTGTGTGACTGTAATGGAGGTGCTCTTAAATGTGACTGCATGCCTCTATCTTCGTTTTCTTCTGCTCCTCTCCTTTCCGGTGCAACCCCCCCCCCCCCATGCCTCCTCTCGTTCCAGCTGAATCCCCGACCTCGCAGCAGGCAGCAAGGGGAGGGAGGGGAGGCAGAGCTTCCGGGAGTGCTCATGGCACGACAGGGGGAGGTGGGTTAGGGTTTGAGGGGAATGGGGTCGGCAAAAGGAAGGAGGATGTATCTGAGCGAGAAAAAGGGAAGGGGAGAGCGGAGTGGCAGGGCTGCGGGGCGGACGGGGGGGATCACATGCTTGTGATTATCCTTGTTGTTTCATGTTCCATGTCACTTTTCTTCCCTCACGCCTTCATTCAAAGATGTTTGATCTTGTGATTGATTGGCTCTTAAATGATTGAACCAGCCCGCCGGCTCTGTTGTTTGTTGTTGGGGAATCGTCTCCCTGCATGGCAGGTGTGACTTTTGAGAATTCTCAAACGTCACACCAATCTTCTCCCTGCATGGCAGGTGTACGGCATTCCCTTCCATCTGATTATTTTAGTCGACTCCATTTTCGATCGACTAAAGAGCCAGCTTGATATTTCTGAGTTTGGAACTGTTTCTTTGCGTGCCTGCAGGTGTACGGCACTCTCTTGCGCCTGCTTCAATCCGCCAACCATCAAGTGCAGCAGGTTTGTCTTCCTTGTGTCGCTTCTTCAAAAGTGTATTGAGTGCAGCAGGCTCGTCTGGTGTGTTGACTCAACTCCACCCACACCTGACTGAATCCAATTTGTTATGTATTCGAGTTGATTTACAACCCGATGCTCCTGTCTAACGTCCACCCACTCCCTTCCCTGCTTCTCATCCCCCTCCCCTGCCTCTCTGCCCACCAGGCAGCGGACGAGCTTCTCATGCTACTGTGTGTCAAAGAGACAATTCACCCCTTCCCCTGCTTTCCATCTGCTACCCCTCTCCCTTTCCTCCCCTGCCTCTCCGCACATCAGGCAGCGGACGAGCTCCTCATGCTGCTGCCAACACACCGCGCCATTCTTGACGATTTCATGGTCAGTCACTCGCACTCGCACAGCTGTTCAATCCTTGTCGGTGTTTCAGAATCATTCCATAGTTGTCAGTTGCAGGAGCTGTTTATCTCTTGTCAATCGCGCAGTTGTGAAAATTGAATTCTTGGTCCGCCGGTTCTGGTTCTGCCCAGGTCGCTACTACACCTGCATCCGCATGGGCCTATGCGTCATGGACAGCCGCATGCATCACCACAGCACACACACACCTGGTCACAATGACCTGTCTCTCCTATGTACCCTCTCCCTGCACCCGCACTAGGTTTCATGATGTATCTCTCATTGTCTCCCTCTTTCGTGTTCTCTCTCTCACACCTGACGGACTGTGACTCCCCCTGCAGAGCATCCAGTCAGCGCCATCAGCAGTCGAGGCTGCCACCATTCTGACGCATCTCCTGCGCCCCTCACCACGCCTTGTTTATACACTGCAGGTGATTAGGATTGAGGGTGTAGCAGTTTTGGGTTTTAAGGGTTTAGCGCGACTGCCAGGCACGCTGCTGCAGGCGATTAGGGTGGGGTTTCAGGGTTTAGAGCAATGGCCAGACACGCTGCTGCAGGTAATCATCATACTTCGTCTCTTGCTCACTGTTCCAAGCTCCCATCCGATACCCATAATTATCCCATGCATCCAGCGCCCCATTCCATCATCTTTCCATCCACCCATCCCATCTGCCCCTTGTGCCCATGCCATGTGCCTCCATGCATGATGCATCCCACCACCACCACCAGGTGCTGGACGGGCTATTGCTGCCTGTCAACCGCCAGCCCTTGCCTGCCACCACCTAATGACCCATGCTGTCATCCATCTGTCTGCCATATGCGTCTACCCATGTGCCTCCATGCATCCCACCCACCATCCCACCAGGTGCTGGACGGGCTATTGCTGCCTGTCAACCGCCAGCCCTCGCCTGCCACCCTTCGCTTCCGAGCGAGCTTTCTCCAGTCCAATGGTTTCAGGTGACCTTTCAATTGATGTTGCCTGCCCAAACGAATGCATGAGTTGTTAGAGCTAGACCTCAATCTCAACTTTTGAACTTGTACGTTTATATCCTAGCGTAGTGTAGATTGCACTTTGTGTTTGGTTGGGTGTACACACACCCACATTCCAACCAAACCCAAATGTGATCACCAAGCAATCTCCAACCCACCAATTGGACATTTCCTTGGGATTGCCCTTGATCCCCTAGGGATTACCTCAGATTCCCTCCTCATCCATTCCTTGCTCATTTCGTTTGTACTTGAAGAGCTTTGATCTCATTACTAATGTATCACTTCAAAGCTCAAATCTGACATGATTTTCTGGCTCATGGTTTCATTATTCATATACGAATCGTTTCAGGGCATGTGTAGTGTAGTCTGATTGGTTTGTAGGTGTACATCTCCCGGCCTGCTTCTACTTCTCTTTGCTCTCTACTGTCCTCTCCTACACTCCTCCCAAAACGACACCGGTACTTTTCTCTCTTGTCAACAACACCCGACCTCCTCTCCCTCTCACCTTCGGAACGCCCCCCTCGTTCTCATCCTTCCGCAGTGCCCTCATGTCGCCCCCCTTACTAATTGGCCACTCTCTCTTCTCCCTCCTCCCCCCTCTCCATCCCGCCTGCATCCTTCCGCAGTGCACTCGTGTCAGTCTTTCAGAGCCAAGCACTGCCGCGTGCAGCGGATGACAGCACGAGGCGGAAGTGCTACATGAGCGCCCTGCACATTCTCAAGCTCATGGTGAGTGTCTCTGTTTGCCGTGCCCTTGTGAATTTTCTTCTCCTCTCCTTAATTCGATGTGTGTTTTTCCTGTTTCCTTCGTGCCGTGGCCCCCAAAACCCGAGCTGACTTTTGAGTCGACTCAAAAATGTTTGCCGTGCCCTTGGGAAGTTTCTTCTCCTCTCCTTAATTCGATGCGTGTTTTCCTGTTTCCATCGTGCCATGGCCCCCCAAAACCCTAACATGTTTCAGCTGTTTGGCGATCACTTTGGTGGCGCCTCTAGCACAGCACCAGGCCTCTGGGAAGACTGGGAGGAGGAAGGCAGCGACGAGGAGCAGCTGCCAGATGCCGCATACACAGCCGCAGCATCAGGAACTGTCGCAAGCACTATAGAGAGCATTGTGGGGAGCACTGTAGCGCGTACAGTGCCAGTGGCGGCCGCCCCTCTCCTTGCCACGGCACCTGGCGATTCGTCTGAGCCAACCTGCCTCATCCGGTGAGCGATTTTCGATTTTCGATTTTATTCGACTCAGAAAAAAAAATCATTCTGTTGTGCCTTCTTCGGTATGGCTGCCACCAGCCTCTCGGCCTCTTTCGAGGCCCTTTATAAGCTGCTAGCAGCTGCTCGGCCTCTCTTTGCCAGTGAGCCAACTTTCTTTTATCTGGTAAGTGGTGTATTGCTGAACAACAAACCATCGCTTTTGAGTTGAATAAATAAGGGATTGTTATTTCATTGTTAAATTTAGTGTGATATCTATCCAATCAGCTCGTCTATTCTTCTCTGGCCTTTGCTGAGGTGAGATTTGGGCTGGACTGACTGGAAGTATTTTTTTCCTTTCTTCTTTCGTTTCGTTTCGTTTCTTTCTTTCTTTCTTTCTTTCTTTCTTTCTTTCTTTCTTTCTTTCTTTCTTTCTTTCTTTCTTTCTTTCTTTCTTTCTTTTATTTTCTGTTGGAGCCAAGTTGTCGCATCTGGTGAGGTGATTCATTTCCTGTGAAACCTCTACCTGTGCCTGTGTGTGCCTGTGGTGTTGTTCCCTGCAGGGCGGATGGCACAGTGGTGGTCGCGGAAGCAAAGAGGGTGGGTGAGGGGATGGACGAGGGGGAGGAGGAAGACGTGGAAGTACAGGACATTATTCTAGATAACGGGGGACTCACTGTAGATACTTGTGAAAATGCTGCCAATAAAGGGGTTGTTCCTAGCGAGGACGCCCCAGCTCCTCAGCCTCCTGCAGCTGGTGCTGCTGGAGCAGCACAAGCACCAGCGCAGCAAGCAGTGGTAGAAGCAGCTGCTGTAGACTCGCCAGCAGCGGCGACGGCAGCCCCTGTTCCGGCAGCAGCAGTGGCCCCTGTGCCTGAAAGGGATGTGCCGCCATTTGTAGCAGTAAGTCTCATTCCTCACCGCTTTCTCCCAGCTTCACCACGCTGCGACACGACACCAGTCTGCTGCTCTGATCCACCTCATTTTTGTCCCATGCGTTTTGTTTCTTTAGGCGTCTAAAAAATTATGATGCACCCTCAGTTCGGTCTCGTGCGTTTTGTTACTTGCATGGGGAGAATTATAACTGATTCCTCTCCTTACTGCCCCCACAGATCATGGATGCGCCGTCTACCCTGCTGCCGGCTGATTGGTCAGAGCTCACCAATACCATCATGATGCTCGCCTGGGCGGCATCGATTGGCTCTTTGCAGGCCATGGCGTCACCCAATCCGCACGCATTCGATACTGCAGCAGCTGTTGCTGTGAGTGAAGTGTGCACGGTGTATGTATGTATGCGTGCACACAAGAAATGTATCCATGCAGAGCTGCATGTGTGCATGCGTCCATGTGTTGATGCATGCGTTCATAACAAATGTGCATGCATGTTAGTGGGTAAAATGTCCTGTTGTGCTTGTCAAATACAAGACTTTAGGCGCCTATAAAATTATATTTTTGCTAGATTGTCCTCTTGTGCTCCTCAGAGGCAAGCCCTTGCAACGCATACCTACATACATCATCAATGTGTAATGCATACATACATACATACATACATACATACATACATACATACATACATACATACATACATACATACATACATACATACATACATACATACATACATACATACATACATACATACATACATACATACATACATACATACATACATACATACATACATACATACATACATACATACATACATACATACATACATACATACATACATACATACATACATACATACATACATACATACATACATACATACATACATACATACATACATACATACATGATGAATGTGTAATGCATACCTACGTACATCATGAATGTGTAATGCAACCCACACCTGCTAAAACCCATGTCAGTTCGCTGCTCCCTGATTCACCTGTAGGGCTCCCTTCCAAATTTCATCCTTCTTTTTACACCCCTCTCTCCTGCTCTTCCCTTCCACCCCTCCCGTCCCTTAACCGTCTCTCCTGTTTCTCCCATCTCCCATCGCACTCCCACCCACCATTGGCAGCACCTGGCCCTGCAGTCTCGGCTAAAGCAGCGGGTGGAGCAGGCCGGCTCAGGGAAGGGGGGAGGGGAGGAGAGCGATGAATCAGAGGACGAGGATGATGAGGAGGAAGAGGATGAGGACGGGGCGGATTCACCGTTACATCCTGATGATGCATGCCTGGCGATAGAAGGAGCGGTGGTGCTGGTGAGTGTGGGGCTTGGGGGAGTGATGAACAGAGGATTAGGAGGAGGATGGGGAGGATGAGGACGGGGCAGACTCACTGTGACATCCTGATGATGCTTGCCTGGCGATAGAAGGAGCGGTGGTGCTGGTGTGTGTGGGGACTAGGAATGTGAGGAACAGAGGATGATGGGGAGGATGAAGCCGCCGACTTATTGTTTCATCTCGACAATGCGTGCTTGGCGATAGAAGGAGCGCTGGTGCCGGTGAGTTTGGTGTTTTAGCCCTTTCTCCTCTGCTCCAACAAATCCCCCCCCCAACTCCCCCCCCCCCCCCCCCCCCTCTCAACACCTCCCCCCGATTTTTTCACCCCTCTTCCTTTTCTTCCTCCTGCAAAAAGCCCTCTTATATTTGTCGACTTCGTTCGCGCTCTTTCTAAATTGCAAGTGCCTGCACACCTTGAAAAAGAAAAATCTCAGTTATTCGTTTTCCCCACTTCCCCTCACTCCCTTCCTTCCCCCCCCCCCCCCCCCCCTCCCCCCCCTTTTTTCTTCTCTTGTTCCCCTCAGTCAGAGTGCCTGGGTCGTTGGAGAGAGATCGCCACCATCCTCTTCTCCTCTCACTTCCCCTCACTCCCTCCCTCCCCTGTCTCTCCCCCCCACCTCCCCTCCCCCCTCCCGCCCCCACCTCCTGTCTTCTTCTCTTGATATCACAGTCAGAGTGCCTGGGTCGTCGGAGAGAGATCGCCACCATCCTCTTCTCCTCTCACTTCGTTTCCCGATTCATTGTTGTGAGTCTCGTCCCGTTCATCGTACTCCGTCCATTCCATTCCATTCCATTCGTTGCTTCAGCTATTAGACATGTATTAAATGGATAGTTTTTTCTACTTTCTTGCTCCCTGCTTCTCCTAACGTTTCTTGCTCCCGCCCATCCACTCCTGATTCTCTGGCCATTCCATCCTCTTCTTCACATGCTGGCACCCCCCCAGGACACCTGCTTGCACTGTCCAGAAACTGAAATTCGATACAAATTTGCGGAGCTCTTTCTTCACATAAGGTACCGCGTTGGTCCACGTAGACGGTAAGTATCTTTCTATGTTCAGTTTTTATTTTGTTGTCTTTTTTTTCTTCCTTTTCTACCCTGATGTTCACCCTTACAAGATTTTCATTTATCTTTAGCGTTCTCTCAGCTCAGTCACCCAATCTTCCTGTTAGCACCACGCCAACACACACATCTCATGTGATCGTGCCATGTCCTATGGCGTAATCAACCTTTTTCCTTGTCCTCCCTCATGCTCCTATTCTCCCACCCACCCGTCCTCCCAACAGCCTGGAAAAGTGGCCGCCACTCCCCTCCTCCACCACACAGCCAGCAGCACCACCAGTCGCACCAGCTTCCACAGCACTACCAGCAGCAGCAGCAGCAATGTCATCGCGAGCAGCAGCAGTGACAGGCCAGGCTGGTGCCACTCTCGGCCTCCCAGGCCCTCCCTCACGCCCCTTCACATCCATCCACTCCTGCATCTTCCACTCCCTCGCCTCTGCCCGCGCTGCTGCTGACAAGCAGCCAAAACACAACAGACCAGTGAGTGCACGACCAAGCAGTGCAGAGCGGTGAGAAGCGGCGGAGTGGTGGACAGGAACGTTTCATCAATGCTTTTGCTTTCTTTGCGGTGGAGGGGACACCTCCTTTGTTGACGTCTGTTTATCCCTCTCTCCTCTCATCTCAACCCCATTTCTCTCAAACAACCCCCCCTCCTCTCATCCCCCCTTCTCTCAACCCCTCCAGTAACGGGAGGGGGCAGCTGTGCAATGTGGTACATCCACTGGTTGCTCCTATGCGTCATTTTTCCTCGTTTGACGTCCCTTGATCTCTCTCTCCTTCCCTCTTACCCCCCCTCCCCCCCCTCCAGTACTGGGAGTTGCTGTGCAAGGTGGTGCAGGGGGTGTATCTTCGAGACGAGGAGGAAGTTGTCAGGAAGCTTCTGGACGAGGAGATTCGCTGGCTGCAGCACGTGACATGGGGAATGGATGGCAGGGAAGAGGTGAGGGGAGAGGTTGTGAGTAGAGAAAGAGAAAGGTGGAGGTGAGGAGGAGTTGAGAGTAGAGATGAGCAACGAACCAAACTCTGGTTCGGTTCGGTCGAACGTGCTCGATTGCACTCAAACCGAACCGAACTTCTGTTCTCCCCAAAAATGTTCGGTCAAACTTTGAAAAAGTTCGGGCGGGCCGAAGCTGTTTGGTTCTGCCCCTGACAGATAAACTCGAAAGGTTCGACTGTTCGGACAAGGCAGGGTTCAATTCAGGAGTAAAATGAAATGGACCCTCAAACCGAACTAAGTTTGAGTTCGGCCGAACCCTAAAAAGTTTGGCCAAACCGTTTCGGTTCGCCCTAGTACAAGCAAAGCACACCTCGAACCCTAAAAAGTCTTAAAGCAGCAGTATACATTTGACAGTGTGGTTTAGGGTTTTACAGTCTGCCTCACGATTTCGGCCCCAACATGTACCATTTGTAAACTTCTGGCACTCGCCCTGCCAAATGTTAGACTGTAAATGCCCAACAGTATACTGCTGCTTTAAAGAATGTTCAACCAAACCTGTCCAGTTCGGTTTGGCTGAATGTAAGCGTTAGGAAAAGTTCTACCAAACACATTTGAGTTCGGTTCGTGCTCAACTCTTGCCGCGAGGAGCGCCTTCTCCTAGGAAACTTCAGAGGTCTGGTAATCCTGGAGGTCCTCGGGGATCGCTGCTCACGATTTCATAATATTGATATACTTAAGTGATGCGTCTACAGGTCGCACCAAGGAGATGATATCTGTGAGGTAGGTTGATCGCTTGAGGGTCTAGGTATGCTAGGATATAGGCTGACGTACATTTAACCCCTTTTATGTACTGCAGGGACCTCTGACATAAAGAGGTTAAGTGTATATCACCTTATATTCTAGCATACCTAGACCCTCAAGAGAACACCCTACCTCACAGAGATATCATATACGGTAGCCCCTTAATGCGACTTATAGATGCATAACTTATGCATATCAGTTCTGGGAGATTGTGAGCAGAATTTCGAGGACCTCCAGGATTCTTAGACCTCTGAAGTTTTCCAGATTCGTGCTCACATCGTGAGGCGAGGACGGAGATCATTGAGGAGAGGAGGTTCGGGGAGAAAAGGTGCAGAGAGGAGAGAGGAGGTGGGGATGGAGGAGGAAGAGGAGGAGAGCAAATATGGAAGAAAGGAGAGAGCACCAAAAAAAAAAAAAAAAACCTTCTCTCCTCTCCTTCTACGCTCACCTCATCTTTCCTCTTCCCAGCTGTTGGATTGGAAGGCCATCTGCTGCTGCTCAAAGTGCAGCTAGAGGTGACAAAGTGCTCATCCCTAACAGAGCTCACTGTGTTCCCTGTACTTTCTGGCCACATCCTAGCTGCTGGAGAGCCATCTGGAGGCGCTGCTTAAAGTGCTGGTGGAGGTGATGGAGTGCCCCTTCTGACAGGCCTAATTCTGTTGAGTCTGGACCGCCACCATCAAAATGTTGTTGCTGCTGCTCAAAAAGTGCTCATCGAGGTGTTGGGATGCTCCCTGAACATCGAGGTGTTGGGATGCTCCCTGAACATCGAGGTGTTGGGATGCTCCCTGATCATCGAGGTGTTGGGATGCTCCCTGAACATCGAGGTGTTGGGATGCTCCCTGATCATCGAGGTGTTGGGATGCTCCCTGACTTTATAATCCTAACAATGCCAACAATTTTTCTCCCCCCTTGCCATGTATACCTCAGCTGCTGGAAGGCCATCTGCTGCCGCTCAAAGTGCTCGTAGCGGTGCTCGAGTTCTCTTCTCACTTCTTACAAACTTTACCTTATTCCCTATGTGTTCTTGCCACACCGCAGCTGCTGGAGGGTCATCTGCTGCTGCTCAAGGTGCTCGTGGAGGTGCTGGAGTGCCGCCCCCTCGTGGCCTGCTCTCCACCCCACGGCCATGGGCTGTTGCACCTGGTACGCTGTGTGCTGGGGGGAAGGGGGGCGGCGTGATGAGGGGTTTGATGTTCATGGTCTCCACCCACCCCTCCGCCATGGGCTGTTGCACCTGGTAGTATTGGGAGGGTGCTGTGTGTTGAGAGAGTGTGTGGCTGATGCCGCGTTTGACGTTTATGGGTGTCCTCCACCCCACGGCCATGGGCTGTCGCACCTGGTATGCTGTGTTGTGAATAAAAATGGAAGAGGTGGAAAGTGATTCTATACGAATTTTCAGATATTAATCGAGTGAGTGCACAGTTCTTTGGTTGAACAGCGAGAGCTAAAAAATGTTCCCTCCAACAGTAGATGCCATTGCTGGTACTTACCATCGGGCATATTTCTGATGTTTCATCAATTTGTTTGTTCCCTTTTCCTGCCGTACCCCGCGTCTCTCTCCCGCCCCCCCCCGCCTTGCAGCTCATCACTCGCTGCCTCTTCCCCGAGTGGCCGGTGGTCGTTCCCAGCCACCAACAACAACAACCGCCACAGCAGCAACAACACCACAACCACCATCACCACCACCAACAACAACAACAACACCAACAACACCGACAGCAACATCAACAGCACCAGCCACCAGGCGAATCCTCTCCTCCCACGACCTGGGGCCTTCTCTCTGCCAGCCCCCACGATGCTGCAGTCTTCCGCCCCCTCTGCTCCGCCTCGCCCTCCCGCAACGCTGCCTTCACCCTCCTCCTCGCCCTCTGTGCCAAGGTATTTGTGTGTATCATGTTACTATTGAGCTTTCAAACTGTTACGGGTGATGTTGCTGCTACTTTTGAGTATAATCGAAGGCTCCGCGCCCACTCCTATCCTCGTCATCCTCTCGCAATGCTGCATTGACACCCCTCCCCACCCTGCGACAATGTGAGCCTGATGTTAAAGTGCTGTAGGGTTTCTGAAAAATCTCAAGAACAGCCTACAACATGAAGTTACTGAAGATCACGCCTCCTCACAACCCCCCTTCTCATCTCAGACCCGCCCGTGTCCTCCTCCTACCGCCCCCTCTCCCATGTCTCCTCTATGCAGATCGCAGAAGCCTTGAAGGAGCTCACCTCTCGATGCCCCACTGCCTGCACTTTGGCTGAGCTTTGCGGCACCTCACAACACTTCCGCCTCGCAAACCCCCACCCCTTATCCTGTTACCGCCCCCTCCCCCCTCTTTCTTCCATACAGACCCCTGAAGCCCTACGAGAGCTCGCCTCGCTGCTGCTGCCGCTGCACTTTGCCTCGGTGGAGCACGAGTTGCCGTCGTGGGAGTACCTCCCCAGCTGCGCCCCCCGGCCACGTGTGGGATATGCAGGCCTCAAGAACGCAGGTGCGTGGCAAGGCAACAACACAACTAAGTCTTGTCTTGCATGCACTGCGCCAAGACTAGGAGACCTTGCCGTTCCACCGACGCGAAGTGCAGGTATGGTGCAATGCATGCATCTCCCGCTCTCACAGTGACTTGGTCCACTCTAGCCGCACTTCGCCTCTGTGGAGCACGACGAGTTGCCATCGTGGGAGTACCTCCCCAGCTGTGCCCCCCGGCCTCGGGTGGGATACGCGGGACTCAAGAATGCAGGTATGTAGCAAAATTGTCGGCCGTGCAATAATGCATGTACATCCTGCATGCATTCCGTCAAAATTAGAAGACCTTGCCGCTGCTCTCAAATCTCAGAGTAGGGGACCTTGTGCGCTTTGCCTCTCTGGAGCACGAGCTGCCGTCATGGGAATACCTCCCCAGCTGTGCTCCCCTCCCCGGCCACGTGCAGCCTATTCCAGTCTCAAGCTATGCTGCTTGCACCTGACGCTCCAAAATTGGAGCGTGCGACATGAACAGTGTATTCCAGCATGAAATTTCCAGCGCCTGTTGCATGAACAGCATGAAATGTCTTCATGGAGCCCCCAGCGCCTGTTCAGTCGACTCCAACGTTGAGGCTACCTGTTTCCTTCCCCACTTTGTCGCTGCTTTACCTGCCCCCACCCCCAGGAGCCACGTGCTACATGAACAGTGTGTTCCAGCAGCTCTTCATGCAGCCCCAAGTGACTTATAAGTTGCTGAAACGATTAATTCTTTGACCCCCATTTGAATGTCTTGTCCTCCCTCTCACCCCAGGAGCCACGTGCTACATGAACAGTGTGTTCCAGCAGCTCTTCATGCAGCCCCAAGTGCGCCGTGCCCTCCTTGCCTTCCCTGAGACACCCGAATCGGACCGACCTCTGTCTGTGATTTACCAAGTGCAGGTATTGTGTGGGGCTTGTGCGTTTTAGTGGAGAGGGCTCTTAAGGGGTACAGACAGCCTGCAGTAAATTGCATGCTACAGGCACTTTGGGGGACAGCAAAGGCATGCCGTCCGTGATCTGCAGTGCAGTTTATGCGCAGAACTGATGCCTTATACTGAGACAGGCTGTAAAAGGTACAGACAGCCTCCACTGCAGTGCAATTTGCGGGCAATTCTTTCAGTCTCTTTTTGGAAGTTCTAAAAGCTATCCAGGCATACACAAACGTGCTATCCCAGCAAAGACAGACTTAATTTGTTTCCTGACCTCCCTTCCTCTCACCCTTTCCGTCTTCTCTTTGACTCTTCTCCACTTAATCTCTTCTCTTCCCTCTTCTCCCATTCTTCCACTGCAGGCCATTTTCAGCTATCTGCTAGCAGGCTGCCCTGACTACTTTGTTCCAGAGGGCTTCTGGGATGCCTTCAGGGACTACGACGGGCAGCCGGTGAACCTGAGGGAGCACCAAGACGCGTTTGAGTTCTTCAACCGGCTCTACGACTCGCTGGATGAGAGCATGAAGGCACAGCGGCATTCCCCCACGCTCACCTCCATTTTTGGCGGACATTTTGCACAGCAGGTGTGTGTGTGCGTGGGATGGTAGTTCCTGCAGCATGCTTATGGTATGTATGTGTTGGACCGCCTTTGAGTTCTTCAACCGCCTCTATGACTCTCTGGATGAGAGCATGAAGGCACAGCGGCACTCCTCCACAGTAACTTCCATATTCGGGGGGGCTTTCGCCCAGCAGGTGCGTGTGTGATAGTAGTAGACCAAGGTGCATGCCTGTTGTTTCGTATGGGTGTGGACGGTTTGAGTTCTTCAACCGCCTCTATGACTCTCTGGATGAGAGCGTGAAGGCTCAACGGCACTCCCCCACACTGACTTCTATCTTTGGTGGCGCGTTTGCTCAACAGGTGCGTGGTGTGGTGCGGTGGGAGGGGCAGGGGTGGGTGTAGTGTAGTGTGATGTGGTGTGATGTGGTGTGATGTGGTGTGATGTGGTGTGATGCCTATCCCCCCCTATCTTCTCCCTACCACACCTCCCCGTCCCCACTTTCAACCACCACCCCCACCCCACTCCTCCTCCCTCCCCGTGTGCTGCAGATCATCTGTCGGGGCTGTCCTCATCGCAATAAGAGGGAGGAGCCATTTGCAGCAGTGAGTGGGGACGTGACGGGCAAGCGCGGGCTGCAAGAGTCACTAGAGGCTTTTTCCCCCCTTTATCACCAGAGACGCATCTCCCTCATTCCCTCCCCTCCCCTCTTTCCCCTGTGCAGATCATCTGTCGGGGCTGCCCCCATCGCAGTGAGAGGGAGGAGCCGTTCGCAGCAGTGAGTGTGGACGTGAAGGGCAAGCGCGGGCTGCAGGAGTCGCTAGAGGCGTTTGTGCAAGGCGATCTGCTGGAGGCAGATAACGCCTACTTCTGTGGGCAGTGCGGCAAGAAGGTGAGCCGCCGCAGGGTGTGAGACGTTTTCGGTGGTCGGTGGTGGTTGTGAGGGAAGAGTGCAGAGCCGCTCTATGCCTTCGTGTCCTTTTGAGCTGCCCAAAAGAAACAAAAATCGCTTCTTGTTTCATCCCTCGTTACACCCCTCGCTTACCCCTCGTTTTACCCGTACTGATTACTGCAGGTGGACGCGTTGAAGTGTGCGTGCATCAAGTCCCTGCCTTTTGGGCCGACCAAATAAAATAAAAACTGCTTCACACTCTGCCCACGTTTCGCCCCTCATCGTGCCTGTGCCTTTTTCAAGTTGACTTTTGAGTCGACTCAAAAGTCAACACGTTTCGCCCCTCATCGTGCCTGTACCTTTTTCAAGTTGACTTTTGAGTCGACTCAAAAGTCAACACGTTTCGCCCCTCATCGTGCCTGTACCTTTTTCAGGTGGACGCACTGAAGCGTGCGTGCATCAAGACCCTGCCGCCCACCCTGATAATCCACCTGAAGCGCTTCGACTTTGACTACGAGACGATGCAGCGCCTGAAGCTCAAGGAGCGATTCACCTTCCCGCTCTCACTCAACATGCGGCCGTTCACCCGCGAAGGGCTTGCTCAGAAGGAGAGAGAGCAGAGAAGGGGACGGGTAGGGGGTGCAGAGGGGAAGGAGGAAGGGAGGGACGAGGGGGGAGAGTTAGAGCAGGGGCGGGAGGAGGGAGAGGGGGAGGATAAAGGAGGTGAAAGCGTGAAGGAATCCAGAGAGGATAGGGTTGAAGGGGGTGTGGAGGAGAAGGGAGCTGCAGGTGGGGAGGAGAGGAGCGACGGGTATTATGAGTACAGCTTGGTGGGAGTGGTGGTGCATTCTGGAACGGCGTTTGCGGGGCATTATTACTCGTACATCAAGGAGAGGAGCGGCGATTCTCCGCTGCATCACAGTCGTCCATCTCAATCCGTGCGGTCGAAGTGAGTCAAGTGGAGGGGCAGTGGGTGAGACGATGGCTGAGCGAGTCAAACGTGGGTCAAGCAGAGTTGCATTGGTTCAAGCAGAGTTGCATTGGTTCAAGCAGAGTTGCATTGGGTCAAGCAGAGTTGCAGTGGGTCAAGCAGAATTGCAGTGGGTCAAGCAGAGTTGCATTGGGTCAAGCAGAGTTGCATTGGGTCAAGCAGAGTTGCATTGGGTCAGACAAAGTCAGAACGAGTGAAAGCGAGGTAAGCAGAGCTGCAAATGGTCTGAGCGAGTCAACGTGGGTCAAGCAGAGCTGTAGTGGATCCGATCAGACAAAGTCAAAGCGGGTCAAGGGGATGTGTGAGTGGTCGGAAGAGAGTCAAATTAAGTCAACGGGAGCGAGCGGCATCAGAAGGTATGGCGGCCCATGCATGCATGTGTGAAGATTTAAACTCATTCTCACACCCCTGTTGTGTGCAACACCTCAACCCCCATGTGTGTGTGCGGGCAGCGGTGGCTGTGCTTCGATGACAAGCGCGTGGAGGCATATGACGTGAGAGGGCTGGAGAAGGCATGGGCTTTTGGGTCACCACGAGGGTGCACTCATACCTGCACATGCACTTGTGCCACCCCCCTGTGTGTTCTTACAGGCAGCGGTGGCTGTGCTTCGATGACAAGCGAGTGGAGGCGTACGACGTGAGAGAGCTGGAGAAGGACTGCTTCGGAGGGAAGTACTCCGCTGAGGTGTATGACAACCTCATCAAGGCCTCGTCGCCTCAGGTGAGTGTGTTTGGTGAGACAAGTTTGTACTCTTCCGTACACGTTAGCAAGCAAGGGAAGTACTCCGCTGAGGTGTATGACAACCTCATCAAGACCTCGTCGCCTCAGGTGAGGGATGCTTGTTGCTCTCGCAAGTGGAAGTAACCCGCTGAGGTGAGGTGTACGCCAACCTTATCAAGACCACGTCGCCTCAGGTAAAGGATGCGACCTCACTCTCAACCACCCATTTCCTCACTCTCAACCACCCATTTCCTCACTCTCAACCAACCACCCATTCTCTCGCTCTTACTCACCCATTTTCTCACTAACTCACCCTATTACTTTCTCACCCACCCATTTCCTCACTCTCACCCACCCATTTTCTCACTCTCACCCACCCATTTTCTCATTCTCACCCATTTTCTCGTTCTCACCCACCCAGTTCTTACTGTCTCCCTTTCCTCATTGCCACCCACCCTTTTTCTCACTCAGATTACCAATTACCTCACTTCCACTCGCCCATTCCTAAACCTTAAACCCTGTCTTCTCACTCTCACTCACCTGTTTCTTCTCGCGCACCCTTTTCCTCTCTCAGCGCTCTTTCCACCCACATGATTTTGACCCCCCCCAAGAGCGCGCACATGCTCTTTTGTGAGGAAAACTCCCCCACCCCTGCAGCGAGTGCATGCTATTCTCTCTTCAATTGCGTGCATGAAGTGTCTCTCGGTTGTCTTCCCCCCCCCTTCTGCCCCCACAGGAGTTTGACCGGCCCAACAGCGCGTACATGCTTTTCTATGAGCGAATTGCTCCCACTGCTGCTGGCACCAGCACTACCAGTGCTGCCCCTGTGGCCGCCAATACCACTGCCACCACCACTGCCACAGGTGGTGCTGCCAATACAGCTGCAACTGCAGAAGGGATGAGGGCGACAGGAGAGGCGCCAGCAGCGGCAGCCGCAGCAGAGACAGCAGCAGGCGCCCCAACCACCACAAACACTGCCACCACCATCACCCCATGCACAGCAGCAGAGGAGAGGGCAGATGGAGCTGTAGAGCCTTACAGCATCCCTCCCAGCATACACCACTGCGTGTGGCAAGAGAACCTCAGGTAGGGGACAGGACAACCTCATGTATAGGAAAAGGGAATTCGGTAGGTAGAAGTCGCTGCTGCTCTTGGCTCACCTCAAAGCGGATCTCATCCATATCCCTCAAGCTACTTCCCCCTGCCCCCTATCTATCCGTTCCTCAGGTTTCAGCACCATTAGTCACCGTCTGCTTTCCCCCAGACGTACCTCTCCCCCTCATCTATCCTGCCCACTTCTTGCTGTCTGTGCGGCGCTTGAAACGAAACACATTCATCCTTTCCCACTTTTCCTCCTCCTCCATCCATCCATGTGCGTTGCAGTGCAGGTTCAAGCTACAACAGCCGCAGTGCAGATTCGCGGTTGTTGTGTAGCGAGGCACGTTCAAACAAACTCCCGTCCTCCTTCTCCTCTATCCATCCGCATGCATGGCAGGCTTACAGTAGGAGTCACGGCCATTGAACCAAATGTACATCCACTTCAGCTATGCGTGATTGAGGCACCCCAAACAAACCCCCTTTTCCCCCCCTCCTTCTTCCATTCCTCTGTCTATCTGTGTGCATGGCAGGTTTCAGCAGGAGTCACGGCTATTGGATCAGACATACTTCCGCTTCCTGCTGGTGTGAGCGAGGCACCTTTGAACAAACTCACTTCCACCTTCCCCTCCTCTATCTATCTGTGTACATGGCAGGTTTCAGCAGGAGTCACGGCTATTGGATCAGACATACTTCCGCTTCCTGCTGCAGCTCGCACGGGTCAACCTCGACGTCTTTCAAATGTCAGTTCAATTCGACCCACCTCCCCCTTACTTCGTCACCGTCTGTTTCCTGCCCAACATGTCGTGAGAACGATGATGCTCGAGTCGAGGCACTTCAACAGTTTTACTCTCACACTCCATTGCTCTCTCTCCTCCGCAATATTCCGTCCACCAGGTGTGACCATCGAGGCAAGATGGCGGCATTGTCAGACGCAAGGGCAGGCGGGGTGAAGGCGTCACCACAGCGCAGCGAAGCACTGAGGGTGGAGCGAGCAGCAGCGGAGAGGAGGGGTGTGGGCTTCAACAGGTCTCGCTCAGAGTCCATTCCTTCACTCAGAAATATTCCTCACCACTCCACGTACCTTCGCTCCTCCACTGCAGGTGCCATGACCGAGGAAAAATGGCGGCGTTATCAGACGCAAGGGCGGGCGGGGTGAAGGCGTCACCACAGCGCAGCGAAGCACTGAGGGTGGAGCGAGCAGCGGAGGAGACTGCAGAGGCGCTGCTGTCGCTGCTGCTGCCGTTCCTCTTCCGGGTCTACTTGCGAGCGCATGCCAGCCTAAGGACAGAGGACCCTCTCTGGACGGTAAGAGGGAGATGGGGCTGATACAGGGAATGTTGCTCCCTTTTCCTGCTGCTTGTGCTGCTGCTGCTGTCGCTGCTGCTGCCGTTCCTCTTCCGCGTCTACCTGAAAGCGCATGCCAGCCTAAGGACAGAGGACCCTCTCTGGACGGTAAGGGGCTTGTGGGGCGGAATAAAGGGGCTGTTAGTTGTTCTTCCTGCTGCTGCTGTTCCTCTTCCGCGTCTACTTGTGTGCACATGCCAGCCTAAGGACAGGGGATCCTCTCTGGGCGGTAAGAGGGTGGTGGTAAGGGACAGGATAGAAGAGAGGGAATCTTTCCCCTTTCGTCTGCTTCTGCTGCCTCTGCTGCTGCCGCTGCTGCCATTCCGCTTCCGTATCTACTTCCTAGCACATGCCAGCTTAAGGACAGAAGACCCTCTCTGGACGGTAAGGGGCTGGTGGGAGAAGGGGATAGAGAGGGTGTATCTTCCGCTACCACTGCCGGGTGTATATCTTCTGCTACCACTGCCGTTCTTCTTTCATGCTCACTTGCAAGGGCATGCCAACCCCAGGACAGAAGATCCTCATTAGATGGTGAATGGCAGATGGGGGTTGGTACATGCATGGCTGGGCAACACTCCCCGCACTCTCCCCTCGCCCTGTCTTCGATCCATGATTCCATCCCTCTCAACGCATCACATCACTGTCAGAAAACTGTGGCGTTCACTCCAGTTCTATGACAGAGGCTGGACGCCAACAGCACAGCCTGTCGCCTCTTCAACGCCAGGCTGGCGAGCAACGCTCTGACGTGTGTCTTGTTGGCTCAACTCACTCCAGCAATGTGTCTTGTTGGCTCAACTCACTCCAGCAATGTGTCTTGTTGGCTCAACTCACTCCAGCAATGTGTCTTGTTGGCTCAACTCACTCCAGCAATGTGTCTTGTTGGCTCAACTCACTCCAGCAATGCGTCTTGTTGGCTCAACTCACTCCAGCAATGCGTCTTGTTGGCTCAACTCACTCCAGCAATGTGTCTTGTTGGCTCAACTCACTCCAGCAATGTGTCTTGTTGGCTCAACTCACTCCAGCAATGTGTCTTGTTGGCTCAACTCACTCCAGCAATGTGTCTTGTTGGCTCAACTCACTCCAGCAATGTGTCTTGTTGGCTCAACTCACTCCAGCAATGTGTCTTGTTGGCTCAACTCACTCCAGCAATGTGTCTTGTTGGCTCAACTCACTCCTCTCCCCTCGCACATTCTCTCCTCCTCCCATTGCAATGCCCCACAGGGCGTGCTATCTCGCATGCTCGACGCCAACAGCACAGCCTGCCGCCTCTTCAACGCGCGCATGGTGGGGAACACTCTTGATGTGTGTCTCAACACACTATCCTCCCTCCTCCACCGCCCTCTTTGTGTCCCCTAATGCCTCACAGGACGTGCTATCTCGCATGCTTGACGCCAACAGCACAGCCTGCCGCCTCTTCAACGCGCGCATGGCGGGCAACAGGCGCTGGCTCTTGCTCTTCCTCCTCAAATGCCCCATCAACGCCATCTCTGTGGTACGTCTTAGCTGCATCACGTTCAGTTGCGAATTCTCAAACGGGGAATAAAATGCTCCCATCAACTCCATCCACCTCTTTTCTCCTTCCCTCTTTCCACCAGTCTGTAGCGGACCTGCTGGTAACCAGCTGCCACATCACTAGCAGGGCCTCAATGCACCTCCTCCCACCCGTCACCTTCCACCTCCCTTCCTTCCCCCCATCCTTCCCACCAGTCTGTTGCAGACCTGCTGGTAAACTGCCACATCACTAGCAGGGCCTCAGTGCACCTCCTCCCACTTTCTCCTTCCCCCTTTTCCACCAGGCTGTAGCGGATCTGCTGGTAACCAGCTGCCACAGCGCCACCTGCTTCGTTAACGCACATCCATTGGCTGCTGGTTCAACTGTGCCCACTGCAACTCCTGCTGCGGCTGCTGCTGCAGCAGGAGGAGCTCCTGAAGGGCCGGCAGGGGATGCTGGGGCAGCTGGAGCAGCAGGAGGGGCAGGGTCAGGTGCAACGGGGGAAGATGCATTGAATGTGGATGCGTTGATTGATTCGCTGGTTTCGCTGCTGAGAGACGCCAGTGGCCCCTCCTGCCATGTGGACAACGTGAGTGAGCTGTTTTTGTGAGTTCAAGAAGATGCATCGAATGTGGACGCACTGATTGAGTCGCTGGTGTCACTGTTGAGAGACGCTAGTTCCCCTATCTGACATGTTGACAACGTGAGTGAGCTACTATTGAGAATTCTCAAAAGCGAGATGCATTGAATGTGGACGCGCTGATTGATTCGATGGTGTCGGTGCGGAGAGACGCCAGTGCCCTTTCCTGCCACGTGGACAACGTGAGTGACCTGTTGGCTAGTCATGATTCTTGTGGTTACCCTGTTTACTTCTAGGGTACCCAATTTCTGCTGGTTTTGATAACTTTATAGCTCCCCGCTCGATTCTCTCTGCTTGCTCCTCTCCCCTCCCCCACCCCTCCCCCCATCTTTGGGACCTCTCAACACAAAAGTGCTTTCTTTTCTCCTCTTGTTTCCCTCCTCTCCCCTTCTTTCCCCGCCCTGCAGCTCTGCAGCATCTTCGTGGAGTATGCCCGCATCAACCCAACCCAGCACCCAGCCCTTCACTTCCCAGCTCTGTGCTTGTCATTCCTCTCTCCTCTTGCTCCCCTGCCCTCCCTTTCCCTCGCTGCAGCTCTGCAGTGTCTTGGTGAAACATGCCTGCATCGGCCTTACACGGCATCTCTCTCTCATCCAGCAACCAGCCGTTTACCTTCCTCCTTGTGCTTGACTCTGCGCTCTCCTCTCATTCCCCTCCCCCTGGCCGCTCCCTCCAGCTGTGCAGCATCTTAGTGGAGTATGCACGCATCGGCCCTACCCAGCGCCTCTCCCTCATTCGCAGACAGCTGCCCGCCACCTGTGTACGTGCCATGAGGTGCTGTGAGGTGCTGTGAGGTTCCGTGAGGTTCCGTGAGGTGCCGTGAGGTGCTGTGAGGTGCCGTGAGGTGCTGTGAGGTGCCGTGAGGTGCTGTGAGGTGCCGTGAGGTGCTGAGAGGCTGTGATAAGTGCCGTGAGGCGGCCCAGCCTCACTCTGCCTTGGGTGGTCTCACTCTTTTGATCCGTCTCACTTCTTATCCGCTGACAGTTTCCCGGACCGACAGTTGCCCGCCTCCTGTATACATGTGGAGTGAGCTTGAATTGAGTGCTGGACGGGCTGTCAGTGGTTGGAGAGCCACATTCTCCCACCCAGTGGTCGATCTAGAGCCATGCCTGCTATATTGAAATCACTTTTGAGAATTCTCAAAAGTGATTTCAATAGAGCCATGCCTGCATATGTGCTTCAAAAGCGAACACTGAAAGAGTATGTTTGTCTCATGCTTTTCCGATTGTGCTTTGCTGTCCTCGATGCCTTCTGCCTGCTCGTCCTACTTCCTTCCCCGTCTGCACCTGGAATATTTCAACCGAGTGGGCATTGCAGCAGCAATTCTTGAGTCCCCCTTCTCTTGACTCAGCTCAATTCTTTCCTTTACCCAACCCCCCTTCCCCTCTTCCCCGTTGCAGCTTGACTATCTAGACCGAGTGGGAATCGCAGCAGCAGCCAAGCTCCATCTCTCGCCCCTCCACTCCCTCCTCTCCATCCTCATCCGCTCCTGCTACCCCCGCCCTCCCCCCTCTCGCCGCCCCACCCCCGCTTCCACCCCTGCATCAGCGGGGGATGTGGGGGGGGATGAGGAGGGGGAAGGGGAAGGGGACGAGGGGGGAGGGGAAGCAAGGGCGCATGGAAGGGGGAGGAGGAAGGGGGAGGGGAGGTCGCATGGGAGGGAGGAAAGGGGTAAGGGGAAGGCGGGGCAGGGGGGAGGAGAGAGGCGGAGGGGGCATGGTGGGGCTTCTGCAGGGGCAGCAGGGGCGGTTGGGGCAGTGGGGGAGGCGGAAGAGGAGGGAGGGGAGGAGGAGGACGCTGGGTTGCAAAATCCGGCGTTTTTTGGCTGCCCAGTGGCGGTGCTGCCGCCCCGTGTGGCTCAGCTTGCGTCAGACCCGGATTACGTCAATCTGCTGGTTAGTATTTTCGGTCTGTGCTGCTGTGGAATGTTGGTGAGGTAACCATGCCATTTTGCTGGTAAATATTTCCTGTATGTGCTGCTGTGGAATGTTGGTGAGGTAGCCATGTCAATTTGCCAGTAACGTGTTGGATACTCTGTGCTGGTGTGGGATGGACAGAAGGAGGGGAGTACTCTGTTGCTCATTTTTCTAAATTCTCAAGTATCTGCTTTGTTGGTAACCTCCTGTCTCCCATTTTCCCTTTCCTCTTCCCACTCCCCTCGCCCACTCCCCTTCCTTCCCCCCTCCCCCTCACTCCAGATAACGTCGAATCTAGACAACCAGGACACCATCTCTCTCCTCCTCTACATCTCATTTGGCAATGAGACCGAAAGCATTGTACGTCTGTTTGTCTCACCTTTCCTCTTGGTTTGTGCAAGGCCAATGAGTTTTCTACAGCATGCTGCTGTCTCCCAACCCTAAGCCGCACCACCCCTTTCCTCACTGCATTTTCCCGCCCCCCCCCTTCTTCCACGTGTCTGTCTGTCTGCGGTTTCATAGACTGCTCATCTCAGCCGCACCACCCCTTTGATAGACTGCTCCACGAAGCCATGAGCTCTCTGCAGTGTGCTGTTGTCACGTCGTCCGGTTGCTCTCTGCAGTGTGCTGTTGTCACGTCGTCCGATTGCTCTCTGCAGTGTGCTGTTGTCACGTCGTCCGGTTGCTCTCTGCAGTGTGCTGTTGTCACGTCGTCCGGTTGCTCTCTGCAGTGTTCTGTTGTCACGTCGTCCGATTGCTCTCTGCAGTGTGCTGTTGTCACGTCGTCCGATTGCTCTCAAGCCTGACCTGACCCTCTTCGCCCCGTTCCCCACCTCCCCTAACTGTGCCCCGAACTGTGCGCGTGTGTGGTTCCATAGACTGTTCTCCGAGGCCATAAAAACAGTCACGTTGTCCCATGGTTCACAAGCCTGACCCTCTTTCGTCCCGTCCCCCCCCCTCCCCTAATCGTGCTCGTTTTTCACAGACTGTACTCCGGGAGGCCATGAGCTCGCTGCAACGAGCAGCAGTCACGTCATCTCGCCGCATTCTCTCTCTGCTGCTGCACCTACTCAAGCTGCCAGATGCCCTTCAAGAGGTGTGCGCACACATGCTCACCTGCGCACAAACAGACAGACATGCACACGCTAGTATCCCTGGTCCCTTCGCACACATGTTCTCGCTGCTGCTGCACCTACTCAAGCTCCCAGACGCCCTTCAAGAGCTGAGACCTTTGTAGGCGCATACACACGCTCACACATACGCACACGCTTCCATCCACGCACACACAAGTATTTCTGGTCCCTTCACACACTTATTTGTTCTCTCGCTGCTGTTCCACCTGCTCACGCTGCCAGACGCCCTCCAAGATGTGAGACCTTTTTTGGCACATGCACAAGCTCACTCACACTCACACACACACTCACACACACACACTAGTATCCCTGGTCCCTTCACACACTTGTTCTCTCGCTGCTGCTCCACCTCCTTGCGCTGCCAGATGCCTTTCAAGAGGTATGCGTGCGCTCACACTCGGACACAGACATTCACATGCATGCACGCGTACGCGCGCGCGCGCGCGCACACACACACACACACACAAGTGCACTTCCACAATCATACACTCAAACCCCTCGTCCCTTCACACACTTGTCTCTCACACACCGAGTCCACACGCACAGCACTTCCTGTTTCACACACATGTTCCATTTCTTTCTGCATGTATTTTCCCCCACACAGGCACGCCAGGAGTCGGTGGTGAACGGCTGCCAGTTCTTCCGCCCAGGCGTCTTCGACCTCCTTCTCGCCAAGGTACCCCTCTCCCCTGCCTGCCAGCTATATTGGGACCACTTTTCAGAATTTCTAATGCTGACTTGGGTCTCCTCCCCTGCCAGCTGAATTGAAGTCACTTATCAGAGTCCTCAAAAGTGCCTTCGATCTCCGTCTCTTTTTGAGGCGCCTCAAAAAAAGACTCCTCCCCTGCCAGCTAGATTGGAGTCACTTATCAGAATCCTCAGCCGTCGATCTCCTTCTGGCCAAGGCGGCCCTCTCCCACTGGCACCTGTATTGGCTGGCTAGTATGCACCTAGTAGTTTGGTTGTCACCAAGTGCCCCTTCTGAAGCGCCACACGCTGCTCAAGTCTTTAGGCGCCTCAGAAGTCCTCAAAAGTCCTCCCACTGGCAGCTGGATTGGCTAGTATGCACCTAGTAGTTTGGCTGCCACCAAGTGCCCCTTCTGAAGCGCCACACGCTGCTCAAGTCTTTAGGCGCCTCAGAAGTTCTCAAAAGTCCTCCCACTGGCAGCTGGATTGGCTAGTATGCACCTAGTAGTTTGGCTGCCACCAAGTATCCCTGCCCTGCTGAAGCGCCACGCGCTGCTCAAATTCCTCCTCACCACTGCCGCCTTCACCACCATCTCCCAACTCCTCTCTCCATTTCAAAACCCTCCCTCCTTTCCACCGCAACCAGCAAGTTTCCCCCCTAAAGCTCTACGTGCTCTTGAAATTGCTCCTGGCAATGGCGGCCTTCAGCATCATGTCGCTCCGCTTACCCCCATCGCCTTTTTTCCTTTCAACCAGTCCCCACCTCTCCCACCCCCCCCCCTCACACCAGCAAGTGTCTTTCTGAAACGCTACGCACTCCTGAAAATTCCTCCTGGCAACCGCAGCCTTCAGCGCCATGTATGTCGCGGCGCCACATCGCAGTGAGGCGAGCAGCGGTGAGGCGAGCAGCGGTGAGGCGAGCAGACCTGAGCGCCGTGCTGCAGTGGCTGCAGGAGGAGACCGCCTTCCCCTTGACCTACCTCCCACCAACCCTCTCTCTCATCCTCACTCCCCTCCTTTCAACCCCTCGTTTTCCTCCCAAATCCCCACCCTTCGGCCCCTCCCCCTCCTCCCCACACCAGCAAGTGTCCCCTCTAAAACGCTACGCGCTGCTCAAGTTCCTCCTGGCAACCGCAGCCTTCAGCACCATGTCGCGCCTCTCACCCTCTTCCCCTTCCCCCTTTCTCCCACCTCCCCCCCACCAGCAAGTGTCCCCTCTAAAACGCTACGCGCTGCTCAAGTTCCTCCTGGCACCGCAGCCTTCAGCACCATGTCGCGCCTCTCACCCTCTTCCCCTTCCCCCTTTCTCCCACCTCCCCCCCACCAGCAAGTTTCCCCTCTAAAACGCTACGCCCTGCTGAAATTCCTGCTGGCAACAGCAGCCTTCAGCACCATGTCGCGGCGCCACATCGCGGTGCGGAGAGCAGACCTGAGCGCCGTGCTGCAATGGCTGCAGGAGGAGACCTCTTTCCCCTTCACTCCCCTCCCTTCGACCCCTCCTTTTCCTTCTAAATCCCCTCATTTCAACCCCTCTCTTCTCTCCTGATTCCCCACCTGTTGACCCCTCTCCCCCCACCTCCCCCCACCCACCACCAGCAAGTGTCCCCTCTCAAGCGCTACGCCCTCCTCAAGTTCCTGCTGGCAACAGCAGCCTTCAGCACCATGTCGCGGCGCCACATCGCGGTGAGGCGAGCAGACCTGAGCGCCGTGCTGCAGTGGCTGCAGGAGGAGACCGCCAACGCGCCCGGGCACGATCTGTCCAATGAGGAGCTGCCATCTGGCACGCTGCGCCGCACTGCCACTGTGGATTCGACCATTGCCACGGGGCTGAGTCTCATCAGCCTGCCGCACGAACCCAATGCATGAATCTTATCATCAGCATGCTGGTAACATGGTAACCGCATGCTGCACTGCTACTGTGGACTCGACCATTGCCACGGGGCTGAGTCTCATCAGCCTGCCACACGAACCCAATGCATGAATCTTATCATCAGCATGCTGGTAACATGGTAACCGCATGCTGCACTGCTACTGTGGACTCGACCATTGCCACGGGGCTGAGTCTCATCAGGGCTGGTGACGTGGCAACAGGGTGGGCCTGTGACGTGTGATGTGCACTACACCAGTGCCACGTTGCTGAGTCTCATCAGCCTGCCACACGAGGCATCCGCCTGAGTGAGCTGCTGGTAACGGGGTAATGTAACACCATGGGACCATGATGACTGGTAACCTGGCGTCCTGAAAACGGGCTGCTGGTTGCTAGTGAAGGGAGCTACCCCTGAACTGCTCTGCTGGGCAGGAGCGAGCTTGTGGTGCTGCTTGTCTGCACATTTGCAGGAAGCGGTGTTGTCTTGGGCACAGATTCTTCTGCAGCTGCACTTTCCCGGCCTTCCAAAGTTTCTCTGAGCACTGCAGTGCATATCAACTTTGTAGGGGGAATAGTGCTGGTGGACTGTGGTACACCACACTAGTGTTTACGCTAGTATTTCTTTTCAGTGTACCATGTAGCACGCCTAATTTGGCACCTCGAGATGGGACGGAATGGCAATGGCGTATTCATTGTTCATATACGGTAGAAGTGCTGCTGAAAGTATCATCCAAGCGTGCTGCCTGTAGAGTTGCTATGCATGTAGTAGCATATAGAGCAAAGGCATTCCCACACATTTATCCATTCATCGATTTCAACTATGATGTTCACTTTCAAAAGCTGACAATCTCCCCTCGTTCTTAGGACGCGGTGAGAGTGCTCGATCGGGGATAGATCAATTCGGTCACCGCACTGAACCCCGCATATTGGACACGAAAGGTACACAACCTTTTAACCGCTCTAAAAAACGATCCTTAGGCGATCTATCCTCCACTTTCACCGCGTCCTTACTGCAGCTAGCGAGTGTTCATGCTAATGATCTTGAATAGAAAAACGCCTGATTGTACACAACACTTTTGCATTCAGCGTGTAAGGATTTACAAATCCTTACTGAGGCACTCGTTAGCGAGGCCATCCCGAGGGTCACGCGACGAACCTGTCTTGCCTATTTCGTCGCACCGAACCACCCCCGAGTCGGCCTCCGCTCCAATCGCAACCATCACCGAGCCATCCCTTCCCGAACCCCCCGCCTAGCTAGGACTTCCCCTATTTAGGCCTCGTCACTTTGTGTGTTCAATTCATTCGGTAATTCTGTAATTCTCATTCTTGTTATTCGATATTCTGCGCACTCTGAAAGTTCATTCATAACACCTAGTATCAGAGCTACTTTCCTAGCTCACCCCGCTTTTAGAGTGTAATACCCCTCGAGGGGGGGACGAGGAAGGATGTCTTGGGGTCCAGGGGTTTCGTAGGCCGGCCAGGAGAACGAGTTAGTTGTTCCTCGCGGCTATGTTTTTTACGGGCACTCCTTCGGCACCGCCAGTCCTTGCCTCGAACGGTCGCGGTCGACCGTGGCCTCCCTCCCCCCGGGCAACGGACAGCTGTAGCTGTCGCGACATTAAACGTGAGTTACTATTCCGCTGCGGTTTTAACGACGATTTCGAAATTTTGTGAGGCAGCTGGCGTCAGCGGACCTGCGTCGGCACCTGCACGAAATTCGCGGAAGTCGTCAGCGTGTGTGGCAGTTGACGCCGTTGGACCTGGGTCAACAGTTGCGCGACAACTTCGGAGTCGTCCCATGCAGCTCCAACTTTCACCAGGGCGAGAGCCTCAGTGTCAGCAGTGGCAAAGACCAAGTCGTCGACGTACACGAGGATGTAGAACGGCAGCAGTGAAGTGTCGGTGTGCAGAAACAGCGACGGGTCAGCAGTCGACGGAGCAAACCCAAGAGCTGCAAGTGTCGTCCTCAGTGTGTCGTGCCACTCCCGTGGCGCCTGGCGGAGACCGTCGGCAGGTAAAAACGGCGGCAGGTAAAAACGGCGGAAACGTCGGGGCTACAAGGCGGAGAATAACTTCGGGACTGCTGCCTCAACCACGATTTTCGGGTTATCTTCCTACAAAAAATAAAATAAAAATAAAAGTAAAAATGAGTTGAAGCTGAGGGTGTTTCTTCGCTTCTTGGAGTGCGGTTGAGCCGTTGGGGGACTTCGCCTGAAGGGTCACTTTTTAAAGTCGCCTGGCAAGAAACACAGCGGCGGGGATACCTAGAACCCACGGGTGATTAAACGTACACCGCGGGAAATTCTTCAGTAAAAGGGAGCGTGGGAGCAGCCGAAGTTTCGGGATTTACCTGCCGGCGACGAGCGATGAGGTGAAACATCTGCAAAGCGCCAGTGGGAGTTTGCGTGTTATTTTGTTAAAACATCATCGGCGGGAGCAGTTTCGACGACGGGGTCAACGGCGTTGATGCCTCTAGGATCCGTGAAGTCGGTCTCGGAATACCCAAGTCTAGTCCCCGGTTCCAGATTATGCCCCCAGATGGGTTCTGAACTGACGGAAACAGCTGGTGACTGAGTGGGCGGCTATAGTACGACCGAAGATTTCGGAGGAGAACTGCAACTGCAACTGCGGATTTACGGGGCTACGGTTTGAGCGACATTTTCGGAGTTTGACGAAGGACTTACCAGTTTTACGGTGAGGAGCGCCGACAATTTCGTAGCAGTACTTCGACATTTGGTTAAACGCGTGCGACAACAACGTTCGGGCAACATCGCGGGAACTACACGGAGTTTCAAGGGGTACGAACGACTTACGACGAACTGAAGAAGGCGGCAGCAACAGTGAAGGGGGGGAGAGACAGTTGTAAATTTTCATCCCTGCCCACGAACTATCAGCGCATTACGACAAAACTCTCGGAGAAACCTGTTAGAATCTAGTAGCAGGAGTGATTGAACTATGAAAGAATTGGGTACAAATATGAAACCCTAATGTGGGCTGTACCCCACATTGGCTACCCCACTACAGCCTAAACACATATAGCATATATAATATTTGACACACCCCCATAGGCAAAGTGGGGGAGAGCAAGGGGTCACAAGACTAGTCAAGAGAAGCAAAGCAAGCTCAGGGTGGATCACAACGTCACCACACACACTGAGCACAAGCAAAGGGCCACAAGGCCAGTTCACATGCAGAGGTATATATGCAACGCCAACAGCACAGTGATCTCTACCTAGCAGAGCAAACAAGCAGGTATATATATAGATCACAGTACAAGCAAAGTCTACAGCAAGTGAGGAAAAGTGGGCACAAGGCCTAACAAAGTGCAGAAACGCTGATGATCACCAGACGGAAGTGCCTTGGTGAATATATCAGCAGTGTTGGCCCGAGTGGCCACATGAGCAAGACGAAGCTAACCACGCTGCTGCAACTCTCGAGCCAGGAAGTAACGCAGAGCGATGTGCTTCGTTCTGTGCTCCAGTCTGTGCTCCTCACACAAGGCAATGGCGGCCTTGTTGTCGACGTACAGCACTGGAGGAGAACGAGGCCGCTCTCCCAAGTCGGCCAGCAGGTAGGTGAGCCAGCGTAACTCCTGTGCAGCCATGGCTGTGGCGTAGATCTCAACCTCACAACTGGAACTGAGAACTGAAGACGAGCGTGTAGAACGCCAAGAAACTGAACCAGAGCCAAGGCTGAAGGTGTAACCCTGTGACGACCGCTGCGTAGCCTGGTCGTAAACCGAAGAAGCGTCTGAGTGCCCAGTGAGGACAACGTCGCTCCGTCCTCCAAGCACGAGCCCCATGCCCGATGTACTGCACAAGTAGCGTAGTACCCTCTTAGCAGCATCCATGTGCACCTTTCGGTGCCGACCAGGAGCCACGTAGCAATCCAGAAGGCCAAGAGGGTACGCAAGGTCAGGACGAGTGCAGGTCATCAGGTACATGAGGCAGCCCACTAGCTCTGGGTAAGGACCACTCGGCTCTACGGACTCGTCCGAAGGTGGAGCTGAGAGCGAGTGACCTGTAGCCAGAGGAGTGGCCTGTGCCGAGGACCAGGTGAAGCCGAAGCGCTGAAGGACCTGCTGCACCATGTGTGACTGAGTCAGTGTGATGGTGCGGCGTGCTCTGTCCCGGGTGATCTGCAAGCCAAGGTAACTGCGCAGCTCACCCAGGTCTGTGCACGTGTGTCTCTTCTGCAGCTCCAACTTTCACCAGGGCGAGAGCCTCAGTGTCAGCAGTGGCAAAGACCAAGTCGTCGACGTACACGAGGATGTAGAACGGCAGCAGTGAAGTGTCGGTGTGCAGAAACAGCGACGGGTCAGCAGTCGACGGAGCAAACCCAAGAGCTGCAAGTGTCGTCCTCAGTGTGTCGTGCCACTCCCGTGGCGCCTGGCGGAGACCGTCGGCAGGTAAAAACGGCGGCAGGTAAAAACGGCGGAAACGTCGGGGCTACAAGGCGGAGAATAACTTCGGGACTGCTGCCTCAACCACGATTTTCGGGTTATCTTCCTACAAAAAATAAAATAAAAATAAAAGTAAAAATGAGTTGAAGCTGAGGGTGTTTCTTCGCTTCTTGGAGTGCGGTTGAGCCGTTGGGGGACTTCGCCTGAAGGGTCACTTTTTAAAGTCGCCTGGCAAGAAACACAGCGGCGGGGATACCTAGAACCCACGGGTGATTAAACGTACACCGCGGGAAATTCTTCAGTAAAAGGGAGCGTGGGAGCAGCCGAAGTTTCGGGATTTACCTGCCGGCGACGAGCGATGAGGTGAAACATCTGCAAAGCGCCAGTGGGAGTTTGCGTGTTATTTTGTTAAAACATCATCGGCGGGAGCAGTTTCGACGACGGGGTCAACGGCGTTGATGCCTCTAGGATCCGTGAAGTCGGTCTCGGAATACCCAAGTCTAGTCCCCGGTTCCAGATTATGCCCCCAGATGGGTTCTGAACTGACGGAAACAGCTGGTGACCGAGTGGGCGGCTAT